CCACCCTCACAGGGAAGAATTTCCTCCTAATATCTAATCTAAACCTACTCTCTGTGAATTTGAAGCCATTCCCCCTTGTCCTGTATCTCCAGGCCCTGGTAGATAGTCTCTCTCTCTTTTTCCTGTAGGCCCCTTCAGGTCCTGGAAGGCTGCAGTTAGGTCACTCTGGAGCTTCTCTTCTCCAGGCTGAACAGTCCCAATTCTCTCAACCTTTCACAATAGGAGAGGTGTTCCATCCCTCTGATCATCTTGGTGCCTCCTCTGGACTCACTCCAACAGCTCCATGTCCTTCCTGTGCTGGGGCCCCCAGAGCTGGAGGCAGCTCTGCAGGTGGGGTCTCACCTGAGCAGGGCAAAGGGCCAGAATCCCACCCTCCCCTGCTGCCCACACTGTGGGATGAGCCCAGGACATGGGTTGGCTTTCTCATGAAGATAAGGGTAGTGATCACTCTTGAGTCACATATATGTGAATAAATTTATATATTTAGTAGAGAATGTGTTCTTGGTGATAAGGCTTTAGGAAAGGCACAGATCTAACAAGTGGAACAGCTTGAATGTTTCTGAGTTCTCATTCGGTGCTGCTTCATTGTTGTTATTCACCAAAGATGTAAATAATTAATCTGGGGGTTTGGACAGGTTTGCTGGTTTGCTTCCACACATAGTAAGTCAGTGCAGGAGAGCTCTCGTTGCCCATGCGTGTTCTGAGCTGAAAGGACAATTTCAATAGACGGTACTTGGTTCCTTCCCTATTTCCACACCACTGATACCCCCCAGCTGGTGGGAGTCAGAGCAGTGATGGGTCATCTTTTACCATACCGTGCTGCCAGGGCCTTTAAACATTTGGTTTCCAGCTGCAGAGTCTGAGGCCAGTCCCTTTGGCTTGTACTTGTGCTTGGTCCTGAGACAAATGCCTGTGTACGCTCAGATATTTATTGTTAATTCACGCAGAAGAGCAAGTCAGGAGTTTTCAGCTCAGTTTTTCTGAGTAACAAGTTGTTGATTGTCATGGGGCTACCAGGTAAAATGGAAAGAATAATTTTTTTCCTGTGCATTTTTTTTCCCTTTTTCTCTTGAAGCTTGACATAAGATGTATTAAAGCCTTTTTTCCCCAAACAGTATTTAACAGGAATGTTTCAAGACACGTAAAAGCTGCAGCATTAGGGCTAATTGTAGAGAATGTTTTCTGTAGGAGTACTTTCTGTGTGCTCTGCTGCCAAGGCTTTAAATGTCTCTTTGAGGACTGACACTTGGAGACCACAGTTTAAGCTGATATTAATGCCTGAAGTGAAAAGACAGTGATCTCCTCCCACTCCTTAATCGGCTGGATAAGATTCTTCCTTGCACATTAGATGAGCCCTCCAGTTCAAGGCAAGTGCACTGTGCTGGTCTCCTGCCTTCATTTTCAGCTCTTGCTTTAAAGGCACAGTACAAAACTTGCCTTGGCTATTTTGTAAATTCCTTCTTTAAAAGCATACTCACTTTTCCTCCTTTGGATTAGTATTTCTTTAGAATAAAGTATGCCACCAATACTTTCTAGTAGAAAAGAAAAGCTAGAGAAAAGCAGAATTTTTGTGGCTTGAATGGGAAGGGTGAGACAGACTATGAAACTCGGTGCTTCCATATCCAGGGAAGAAATGAAGAAGGTTTCTGATAGTTAATCTGTGCCTGTCTTACAAAGCCAGTATGAAGATGCACAGGAAAATTTGGAAAGGGACAATGTTGAAGGTGTTTTTAGTAGACTCTGGATTGTGCCACTATCTAACAATGCATCACTGTTTTGTTCTGTCCTGTTTTAATAATATTTCTATGAAAAACGTTATTTTTGTGGGAAAATTCCTGTGATGGGGAAACCAGGAAAGCAGTCTGCCACTAATACTGTGGACAAAACACGTTTGGGTTTTTTTGTCATACCCTAATACAGGAAAGTGCTGTTTAACACATTTCACTGCTTTGGTGTCTGTTGACTCTTATGCTTTTGTGAGGGGCACACCTGCAATAGGAATTATTGTGTAAAAGTGTGTTTCCTCCTGTAACATACCATCTAAGGAGGACAGTATCATCACAGAATCCTCAAGTGGTTTGGGTTGGAAAGGACCTTAAAAATCATCTAGTTTCAACCCCCCTGCTGTGGGCAGGGACACCTCCCACTAGGACACTTTGGAGGAGAGCTGTTGTAATGCCTGTTAGCATTCAGAATTCCAGGTTTTATAAAACACTGGAACAGTTATGATGATGCACTTGGCTTTATCCCTGTGCCCTTCTCCACCTCCTTCCATGGTGCCTGGTCTGAACGAAGGGCCTCGTTGTTATCTTGTCTCTTGGCAATCAGGGTCCCGGGCACAAGACTCCTTGCGTGTCTTGCTTTGGGCTCAGTGGGAATACCTTCTGTGCCAAGCCTGAAGCACTGGGGTTTCAAAAATAAGACTTCCATGGTACTGCCTGAAAGCATGGGCGAAAAAACAGCACTGAAAAGTTAAAGCCTAAAGGTTAAACAGCTGCATGGTAATTGCAACAATTAACCTGTTGTGTTTGGCTTCTGTGTATGGACAACAGGCACCCTGTGTGTGCCACGGAAAAGCCAGAGACTGGAATTGTGTGCAGCCTTGGGAACTGTGGGAACATCTAGTTAATTTTCTTCTTCAGGGCTTTCTTAGGAGAAGGTAAGCGAGGTAGTGAATTTGTGTGGGAATGGTGGTTTTAAATGTGGGTCCTAATTATCCCCCCTGTGCTTGTCGGAATGGGAATTAATGCTGCTGAGGTATTAAACTGGGTTCTGCACTTGTCCTTCGTGGAGGGGAACCTGATCAGGAGGGCAGGGGTTCTGGCTTCCCCAGAGCTGGGATCTGGATTTCTCTGAGGTGTCCCAGAGAGCAGTGGGTGGCAGGGATCCTCTGAATACCTGGATGGCAGAGATCCTCTGAATACCCCAAAATACAGGAGACTGACTACCCTGCTGCCTGCTGACCCACTGGAGTATTGGAGTCAGAGCAGTGTATGTTCCCTCCCCCCTAGAGCAGCGGGCTGGTGTTGGTGTCTACTCTGTGTCTCTGCTTGTCTCAGAAGATCAGCAGTGAGGCAGCTGAGGACTCTCAGACCAGAGCTGGGATACATTTCCTGAAAATTCGGAGCTTGGTGTTCAACAGGAAAGTGGGGAGAATGAAGCTTCAGCTTCCTTCTGGATTTGTGTAACCAGCCAGGTGGTTTTGAAGAAGAAGGGTTCTTTGGGTTTTTTGAACCCAGAAGGGTTTCTGGCTTTAGCAAAGATTAAAGAAAAAACACATTGTCCGTTTTCATGTGGGTTCACAAAGCTGATCAGTCAAGGGCAGTTCTCCACGTACTCAAAATTCAGATGCAGTAGAGTAACTAATGCTTTTGTGCATTACCAAAGTGCTCCAAGACTATCGAGCAACAGAGTCAGCAGTGTATTTATTAAGGCCTGAAAACAACGTGAGGCTCCATGGAAGCATTAAAAATTGAAAAAGCAACCTGCAGAGATCCTCTAGTGCTAGCAGTGTATTTGCAAGGAATTTTCCAGGAGCTTTAACACACTGACTGTGCTGTGCATAGGTGGAAGGTGTGTAGGGTTGGTGCTTTTCTAACTGTGCTTCATCCCTTAAGGAAAAAATTTGTCCTTTAACTACGGACAAACTGTTCTTCTTTGAAGCTGTTTGCTTTTATTTTGGTGGTAGATGCACGGCTGTCACCCCAGCTGAATATTTGGGCATTCATTCCTGTGATGGAGGAGGCTGGGAAAGCGAGAGGACCTGGCTCACAGCTGGGTTGGGCTCTGGCCTGGTGCAAAGCCTAGGAAGCAAATGTCCTGTGTGCCTCTAAGGGCCTGCTGGGAATGAAAACAGGAATGCCGTGTTCTAGCTGGGTGCATGGAGCAGGCCTACAATGCAAATGCTGCTTTTGTTCTACCTAAATCTACAGGACTTCAATGTGCTCTTCTTTGTATTCATGTTTTGCTGTATTTTCTGTATAAATTATGTTTTTTTTCCCTCTAGAATGAGCTGTGGAATGTTGCATTGCTATGTATCCATTCATGCTTAGCTTTGTTCCTTGTTTCTTTCCTTTCCCTTTTCCCTCAGATCTATCAAGTCCAGAAGGTAGGGCTTGCTCGCTTTCATTCTTGTTTGCATGTGTTCGTTCCTGTGTTGTGAGTCGTGCTAGAATTTCAGAATCATTTAGGTTGGAAAAGACCTCCAAGATCATTGAGTCCAACCTAGAAAAACCTCTAAAGCATGGGAGATGCACAGCAGGCTGTAAATTTCCATACAATTCCTTCCCTCCCTTAATCTGGTATGGATAATAAAGGGGAGCGGGGGGAAGATGACCCTTGGAAAATATCTGGTCAGGCACCTAATATGATTTTTTTCTACAGCCTGTTTGGCCAAAGAATAATCAATAAGCAGAAGAGTGACTTGGCAAAGCAGGGTCATAGGAGGGTACGGTGGCTCTGTGTGTCACCAGGAACCACACAGACATTTGTGTGCCAAAGGCCAAGAGTATCCCTGGAAGTATTTCAGGCTGGGCAAGCATTTAACAGGTGCCAGCAGGAAGAATGACTTTCAGATGACTTTGTTTGCAGAAAGTCACTGAAGGAAATCAGCGATGCTGTGTTTGAATTCATAATCTTTTGGTAAATAAACCATGTGACCTTCCTTCCAATGCCACCTAAGTCTTATAGGTGCTTTTACATTATTTAATCCTCTCTCACCTCAGTTTAAAGTCGTGATCTCTTCCTTCCTCCCAGTTTCCTTTTCATGATGGTGGCTGAGATGATGATGATAATAGTAGCTCTGAGATCACTTGCTATGTAGCAACAGAGATTTTGGAGTTTGTGTTATGATGTTTGGCTGTTCTACACTTCCAGCATGTGAACTGTGTGGTACCTAGAAACAGAAATAGCTCCAAAGAGGATTTGCAGGGAGGGAGAAAGCACATATTTCTTCAAGCCTACCATTTTCTCCTTTATTGAATATTTCCTTTTTGTTTCCTGGGATATTTTGATTGCTTGCTGAGTGATGAATGTGTCCTAAAACCACGGCGTGTTTGGTTTTGTTCTGGCACTCCAGCTGCCCTAACTGCATGTTTCAAAGCTTGACCTAGCAGTGCATGTGCTTCTCAAAAGTGCTGTTCTCCTCTTTGAGGGCTTATGTATATGAAGAGAGCTGCTCAAATCATGTGCTCTGGTATTTAACCCTGACCCCATTGATTGAGCAACAAATCTATCTTACTCTTGGTTTTATTTCTGGAGTTGACTGCGTAGTGAGTGACTCAACGTCTGCCCATGGATCAACAGGCTCGTTATTAATCTCCTTTATGGGAACTAATTTAACCTTCTGGTGCAAACGCAGCCCCGTGGGAGCCCAGGAGGTTGTTTACTGGTGGTGTCCTGACATGGATGAGAAGATAAATGGGTTATCCTCCCAACATCCCGTAGTGAGTTTGCAAGTCTGGCAGTTTTCGCTGTCACTTAGTGAGCAAATCGCATCTGGAATTCTCTCTCAATGGTATTAACGTCATTAATTATTTAATTGTAATATCGCTTTTCAGGGTAGAAGGGAACTTGAGTCCGGCAAGGGCCTCTGACTGAAACCTAAGTGAATGGCTAAGCACCATTTCTTCCTTTAACCCATTCGAATCAGGCCCCTGGGGACAGAACAGAAGAGTCAGTGCAGAGAAAGAAACAGGAAAGGGCTGAGGGGTCAAAATACTTGAGACTTCAAAAGCTGCCAGTTCAGTCCCATATGACATGTGCTGTTTAAAAGATAATAAATTAAAAATAGTCTCAAGGCAGTTGCATTCATTAAGATTTTTCTTTAGGGGATATTAAGCATGTAGCTGTGTAATTTGAAATGGAGGAGGAAAAGCCTGTAAGTGGAACTTAAATTGTGACACAGCAAGTCTTATGAGGGGTGTTTCCTTATCTGCCTTCTGCAATGCTGAATTCAGAAGCCAGTGTCAGAAAATGAGAACAGAAGGCAGGAAGAAGGAGCAGCAGACCTTTCAGAAATTACTAGTGTGTTTATGGATCCTTTCTGTGTGTGAGAAAGGATTCTCCATTTTAATAGTCTTTTTTTTAAATTGGTGTCTCTTAATGGCTGAAAAGCCTCTAATAAGGCTTTACCTCACCTGCTTTACTGCAAACCATATAATCTGTAGGTTCTCATCATGTACACAGCCCTGACCAGCTGGAGCTCATAGAATTTTCAGGGGTCATTTTCAGGCTGTGATGTACATAAAAGTTAATTTTATAACGCTCTGTTGTACGGGTTTTGCTTTTGCCTGGAAGTAACAAGTCTGAGCCCTTGTGAGAAGTGTGCAATGCTTGAAGAAACTATTCCTATTGTGCCCTCTGATTTCCTGTAGTTCAAGGGGGAAGTTTCACTTGTGTGTAATTTGGCTAGGCATTGTGTAGGGAATGGGATATTCTTGAACACACAATGAGATGCTTTGCAGGTAAAGCAGAGGGGAATACTTCCCTGTTCCCATAGGGAAGTGGTTAGAGAGGTTATTGAACTGTTGTCTCTTTTCCTTGTTCCGGAGAGATGTTGACATACTACTTAACTCTGCCATGCAGTGAAGTAATTTTCTGTTTTCAAATTACTGACCTAAAAACTTATTTTCTAACATTTTTCCTAATAACTGGGATTGTTCTGAGCTCCTGTCTTTTCCCAGTTTGACCTCAAAATTGGCACCATTTAAAGGTAGGTCATTGAACAGTTCAGACTATCCAGGATAAATAATTGAGCACCTCACTACCTGTTTTACTCTCTCCAGAGCTGTTAAGAATAAAGTAAAATGAAGAATACTTTAACATGAAAATAATTTTGTTGTTTGAAGAGAAAGAACTCTGAACTGGAAGTAAACTGATAAAGTATTGAACTGTAGTCCAGCTGCTGTTGGTTCTAGTTTATTAATAACTAGTGAATGAGGTTTTTAAGGGTGAAAGCAAAATTACGTTAATACCATTGAGCGAGTGGTAAAACCAGAGTGCAGTACAGAACACATTTCTGATTTTCTTTTATCATTTCCTAAGGTTTCAACTGTTGATACTCCTCCCTCCTCAAGCCAGTAGGAAAGCTCTAAAATACATATTATGCTTCCTTAAGCAGGATTTCCATTTGGCTGTTGCTGTGCTTTAGGCCAGTGATTTTTCTTCACACAGGAACCTTATGGTCACCATTAAAATGCAAACTTCCTGAGACCAGAGTTGACATGCTTGTCTGGGGAGGAAGAAAAGTCCCATTAAACCTGTGTATCTTTGAACAGTTTGCTGCCTGGTGGAAATTCAAATTCATTGGGAACTTCCCGATGTCGTGCAAAGAAATTACAAGCTGAGAAGTGGTTCAGACAAGACAGTCTATTAAGAAAATTCATGGCATTTGGAACTGAAAGGCAGGGAGCTTTCCAGCCTTGCCTGCATTGGTGGAGCTTGTCCTCTTCTATCCTTGCTGGCGCTCCCACCACTGTCAGATGGCTGAAGTGTAGGCAAAAAGCCTCGTGCTCTGAATGGAGCTCTGGGCAGCTCTGAATACAGCGAATCAGAGTGCACAGAGATGTGTTTGTATTCAACTTGTCTGCCCAGTTTGACAAATCTGTATGGGAAACATGATTTGACAGCATTTTTCATCCTGGAAGTGTCCTGCATTTACCTCCCTTGTAATGACTCTTGACTTAAATGGGTCAGGAATTCAAGACTCATTACACTCCTTGCTCCTGTCCCCCAGCACTGGGATTTCTGCACTGCTGAGAGAGAAGAAGCTGTCAAGTATCCCAGCTGTACCCCAAAAACCCCTTTCCTCTTGCCAGGCAGCTTTTCCTGGGCATGTGCTGTGGAGGGTTCTGGTGCCACTCGGCACAGCTCTTCCTGGCATGTTTGTGTTTGTGTGGCTTGGCCAAGACCTGGCAATGCATGTCTAAATGTTCTGTGTTTGCTTTTCTCATCTAAATTCTGTTTTTTTCCCTTTTCTGTCTGTAGAAATATTATGGTCTGGATACTAAGTGGGGAGACATCGAGCAATGGATGGTAGGACTTGATCAACGTAGCTCAACAACTTTTATGTGTTGAAGTTTTGTGTAGTTCACAGAGTTTGAAATCCCACAAAGCAGGTATTTTCTTGTGTTGGAGATGTGAATTCCACTCGTACCACAAGCATTCCTGCAGTCTTGCATTTCCACCTGAAAGGTGGCTTTTCATCAGCTTAAAACTGGCAAGGGCTGGGTTAGAACCATCTTTTTTAACAGACCTCTGTCTCCACTCTATTGCTTGAAGGTTAGGTTAGAATAAAGGCCTTTTAAAGCCCCTTGAGATACAAGGAATATCCATACTCGTTTTACTTCTTGTGGGTTTCGTTACCATTTGAGTCTTCTTAAATCTGCCTTCACAGGTAAATTGTGGGCATGCTTTATCTGTGCTGCCTCAGTTACCTTGGCACTTAGTGGCCCAGGGGTATCCTTCAGAGGAATTATTACTGCTACGGTGGCAATGTTTGCTTTTTCTGATAATACAGTGTCCTGGATTTTACGATTTGCCAAAACCAGTGAAGTTGATACCAGCTACAGACTTGGCCACTAGCAACATCTGAGTGTTTTAACATCTGTAATATAAGATAAAGAAGTTGCTAACACGCTGGAAGTCATTGGCTTCAAATGTCTTTCAACCCTAAGTTTATGAAATCACTTTCCAGTGATGCCAGATGAAAACTCTAGTGCATGGTCTTGCCCTACAAGCACACTGGAAAAGGCAAAACCAAACAACTGGCTTCCACTGTGGAAGATAACCTCACAAACTCCTCAAAACTCTTGACCCTCGATAATAAATCAGTGTAAATACTTGTTTGCAGGGACCACCTATCCACCAAGGTGCTCCAGTCTCACAAATAAGCCATTGAGTCTCCTCAAATCCTTGCTGGATGAGCTTAGCTCCACCTTACTGGCAATTCCCTTGCTTGAAAGTCCGTTCAACCTGTGAGAACTGTTGACTATAATGGTGAAAGGGGTTTTTTTCCTGTTTTCTATCGCTGTTTCTAAATTCCATGAAAAATCAATTTGTTAAAACCAGTATATTGAGATGTATTACATCTGACAGTATTTGCAGTGTCACAGAGGCTGTAAGCAGAGCACAGCTGCTTTCAGTCTGGAAGAAGGGGCCAGGCTGTGCCCCTCCAGGATACTCAATAGGGAGAGAACATGGCCCTGCCACGTTATTTCAAATGGAAGATTTTTGAGGTTTATTTTGAAGGACTGGGAAACTTAATTACACAAGCCCTGTAAGTATTACCGGTGCCACATGCGAAGAGATGCACTTGAAACATTTTTGAGATAGAAATAAGGCGGCGTTGCTTGAAGTTTTCTGCACAAGTAATAACAGTGTGTAGCAGAGTAAAACGGAGGGGAAGAAAGTTGGGGTCACAAAGGAGGGAGAGAGGGATTTTCTAGTTTGACAGGGTGTCACCTTCCGTTTATTTGGTTTAACCTCGCTGACTCCCAAGCGTGGCTGGAGTTCACTGTGTGTTTCTGGAACGCTGTGTTGGTGTGTCTGTCCTCTCAACACTTCCCTCTGTTTTCTCTCTGCTGCCTTGGTAGGAAGACAGTGAGCGTTATTCCCGTAGAGCCCGAAGATATGCCTCGGTTAGTATCTACTTTTGCTTTTTCTGTTTAGCTAGACATTTCAAATTAAGAAAAGACACAAGTATAAGGAACTTCCTTCTTAAAAAAAAAACAACTCTAAACCAAAAAAAGCTCCCCCCACCCCAGGCAAGTGAAAACCCCAAAACCACTTCCTGACTTCTCTGCTCTCTCCCCAGACACTTCAGGGAGTTTTTGCAAATGTGCGAGAAAAAAGGAGGGGGGAGGTGGGGAAATAACCTGCTTGGAGTGTTTAACATTCATTTATTCAGACCAAGGGCCAAGAGCTTAGAGCAGGGAACACCCAAGCAAGCTGCAGTAAAATGCTTGACAGTGTTTCTTGGGCAGAGTGTGATTTAATTTACTTTCTGCTCATAGTTTTAATGCAGTTCTTTTTAAAATACATTTATTTTGTACGTCTTTTCCTGCCTTCTGTCCCATCAAAGCCATCAACATTTACCTCACTGCCCGTTACTTGTGTTCTTTTCATTGTTTTTTTTTGTCTTTATACTTTTCTCTCGATAGGCTTCGGATGAAGATGAGCGCATGTCAGTGGGTAGCCGTGGAAGCCTGAGGGTTGGTAAATTGTACAATTTCTGTGTGTGTGTGTGTAGATGGATGCCACCGTCTCCCTGCACCCCAGACTGGTTGTAGTACTCTCATAGTATCGTCCTTCCAAGGTCTTGACGTGTTCTGTGTTGGTTTTTTTTCGAGTAACACGTGGATCAATAATTCTTTCAGCTGGGGGAACTGTCAGATGTGTGTGCAGTGTGCAGGAGCAGGAATTCCTGTGCAGGAACCTTTGTGGTAAATGCTGTTTGCTGTTGCAGGAAGTACTTAGCCAAGACATTGGTATAGGCAGCTATTTCTTGTATGCACCTTGTAAGCTCCCCTGTTTCACTACTGATAGTGAAAAGGAAGTGCTAGCTTAGTGCAGGATCAGTGTTTATTAACTCAGGAAACCAGAAGAAAATAATCAGTGGAAATAAGTCTTAAGCACTTTGGAATTGCAGGTGAATACCCGTAGAATCATGGAATATCCTGAGTTGGAAGGGACCCACAAGGATCATCCAAGTCCAGCTCCTGGCCCTGCACAGGACACCCCAACAATCCTACCATGTGCCTCAGAGTGTTGTCTAAACGCTCCTTGAGCTCTGGCAGCCTTGGGGCCGTGCCCACTGCCCTGGGGAACCTGTTCAGTGCCCCACCACCCTCTGGGGGAAGAACCTTTTCCTGATATCCAGCCTAAACCTCCCCTGAGACAGCTCCATGACATTTCCTAGGGTCCTGTCACTGGTTACTCTCCTTAAAAATGCTTTAGAGATACTTGAAATTCATTTGCACTGCTTAAATTTTCTGCAGGGAGAAAAGTAAAGCACAGAGTACTCATCTCTAGGAAAAGTTCAAATGGTATTTTTCCTCAAAATATCCAGAAAGTGTTTTCCCAGATAATACATGTGTATATAAGCCTTTAGTCTGGTCTAGTGTAGAGTTTAGAGGACTCATTTAAAAATAAACAAATAAATAAATAAATAAAAATTGCTACTGCAGAACCGGTTCGGTGATCCCAAATATTGTTCACAATAGCTCAAGGTACACTTAAAAATACTTAGTGTTGCCTTGTTCCCTTTTTATTGAAATCCTTATTGCTACTTTTGAAATGCTGTTAAAATCTTTGTTCTTCAAGATTGCAAACTTATTTGAGTGCTTTTCAAAGCTAGAAGATGCCTCAAAGCTCCAAAGATTCAGTTAAGAAAAGCTTCTCTTCACAGCTGAACAGGAAAAGAAATGTTTATTTTACTTAGAGTTAAATGTCAACATGTTCATGAAAGTGTTTTTTTTAGAGGGAAAAAAAATTTCTAGTTCAGTTGAAATATCAGGTTTTTTTCTGTTTAGAAGGTGTTGACAACACAAATGGGTTGTTTAACCATTACTGTAAGTGTGTCCCTTAGTGTGGCACAATGCAAGCGCGCTGGCTCTGTGCTTATAGCACATCTTCATCTGAAACACCTTTTGTTCATGGAAATCCACCACTGATTGCTTTTGAGGTGTTTTTGTAACACAATCCTGTGGTTTTTAGATAAGTAAATGGCAGAAGCCTTGCATTCTGCCTCCCCACCATGCGTTGGAGAAGCTTTTCCAACCATTTTTCCTAGAGCAGCCAGCCTCTGGGCTGCTCACATGCCTTCAGGCTGTGATAACCACTGCTGGTCTGGTGAACAGCAGTCCCCAGCTGGTCCACTGGATGGTCCCTAAATTCTTCATACTTGTGCAAAGAATGTGTTTCTCTGACAGAAGGATCTGGTTGAAACTTTCCACTCTGGTATTTCTTGTGATGTTGCACAGACTCCCTCCTGTCCTCGTAGAGCAGAGTTCAGTGGGTGTTCTTAGACACAGGAAAAGTTTTGACAGAGCTTCCTTCCCTCCTGCAAGTGTCACTGGGATTATAGAAGCATGTAAATGTTTGCTAGTCTGAACCAAAACTTACCCTTCTACATCCTCCAGTTGTTTTATTCATAATTAATCAGTAGAACATAGAATTATAGAACAGTTTGTATTTGAGAGACCTTAAAGCTTGCCCTGTTCCACCTCCTGCCATGGGCAGGAACACCTTCCACTAGCCCAGGTTGCTCCAAGCCCCATCCAACTTGGCCTTGAACACTTCCAAGGATGGGGCAGCCACAGCTTCTCTGGGCAACCTGTGCCAGGGCCTCACCACCCTCACAGGGAAGAGTTTCTCCCAATCTAAACCTACTCTCTTCCAGTTTGAATCCATTCTCCCTTGTCCTGTCACTCCATGCTCTTATAAACAGTCTCTCTGTTTATAAGATCACTTTCCTGGTGTGGGCTTACAGTAGATGTTTTTAATAGTTTGACCCCATCTCTGGCTAATCTGTGAAGGTTTGACTCTTGCTATGCCTGTCTTCAAAACAACAAAGTAAAGAAACCATGAACAATGACCAACCTAAAAAATTACCTCTGAATATTAGAGTTCAGTTTGGCTTTGGAGCTATTTTAGCTTGAAGACAAAACCAAAAACTATTGCCTTGTGTCCACAAGGGTTTATAAAATGAGTCTGAGAATTCTGAATGAGGCTAGTTTTTTTGATATTTGAAGGCTCTCCTTCCATTGTTGCAGGATGTCATTGTCATTGTTTTGTAGGACTTGCATTTTTGGAAAATTAATCATGCATTTTGTCACTCAGACTCCTTGCACTGTGAGGGTCTGATGGTGCTAGAGGTTGCTTTTTGAACCCGTGCTACTCTTCTGTACAGGAAGTTTTCACTGAAATGAACCAATACTGGACATTCATTTCTCCCTAAAACTTTACCACCCTTCTAATCTGTGCGGGTTTTACTCTGGAATGTTTTTTTAAGTGGATGTCTGGATTGCAGGCACCAGAGATCTGCTGAGGTAGCTTTTGGGGAGCTGGCCTGGATGCTTCTGGCAGAGCAGACAGTGCTACGTCCTGCAAAACCACTGGAGATGTTGATCAGACCAGGCCAGCAAATTGAAGCTCCACAGCTGTGACTGTGCTGTAAACAGTGACCTGAGGTGCCAATAGAATGCTGGCTTGGGTATGTGTGTGTCTCATCAGCTGCCACCAAGGGGCTTCTGCAACAGCTTTTCTGTTGCTCATCCTGAACCCATCAACAGAATCTGTTTCAGGAGTTCTGCAAGCTCAATTCTTTATCGTGCAGATTTTTCTAGGAAAGCTCAGTAACATCACCCTGTGTTTGTTGAGCATCTCTTCAGTCTCTTTTCTATTTCAGTTGTCCTGGTTCTCCCACTTCTCAGATGGCTGTCTCTAAAATCCAAGACCATCAGCATGAAATACTGTTGTGGTAGTAATCACTCGTGATGTAATCTGTGCATTTTCCACGTTTTGTTTGCTGCCACGTTCCTCCTTGTGCCTTTGTGCAAGAATTCCTGCATTATCAAAGTTCTTTAGTTGGGATATACATCTCTGTGCCTATTTTTGTGTCTGTGTGTTTGGTTTGGGGAATTCTTTTGATTGCCATAACTTGCTTGAGTGTTTTCCTTTGTATTCTGATTTTCCTTTCCTTTCATGCCTTTACAGTCTCATTTGGAATATGCCAGCACCTACCCAGTGGTGAGAATAGTCTGCAAGCTCTGCAGTGTGTGTGTTTAAAAACTAATAATGAAGAAGAAACTAACACAAGTTGTGATAACTTATCTGAGATAAGGATCTGGAAGGATCCTGAGACAGTTTGTGGTGTGTGATGTGAAGATGCCACTTCCCTCTCCTACTGCTCTGATGCAGTTCAGACAAAGAGCGACAAGTGATTAGAGGTCTGATCCAGGTCTAGCTCAGTAGTTACCATAGGACAGAGCAGAATGGCCTTTATTTCCCCTGACAGACTGTCTCTGTTACAGTCTGTCCATCGTTTGGCCCGATGCATCTGGATTTATTTCAGCATAGATCTGGAAAGGATCTTATAAACATAAACTCGTTCTGAATAGATCTAGCAAAGGTGATGGGACAAACACACTGCCTACCAAAGCTGCAGCTTGGGTCGAGCTGTTACCTTCACTTTGGGGAACAAAATCAAACTAGTAATAATACAAGGAGAACAAGTATTTGCTCCTGTGAACGCTGAGGTAAAGCTGACTCTTGGAAGAACAGAAAGGGACAGTGAGGATTGGGACTTTAATCTCAGTTTAAAATATTTCCTGATGCCTCGTGGCAGTGCTGTGTTGAAATAGAAGTGCTCAGCGTCCGCAGTTTTATAGATTCTCTGGGTTTTTCACTCTCCTTCATTCCCGGCACGATTTTCAATTAGGAATGCAATGTATCTATTTGTCCATGACCTACATACAACAATAGTTCAAACACATTTGGATTTTGCATGGATGTATTGATGTAGTAAGTATGGACAGCTGGTAGCTCTTTTAATTGACTTAACTCAGCAAGCGTGAATGGTTTTAACTGTGGCTACTAAATTTAACAGCGCTGTCATCACTTTTAACAATATTCTCTAATAACTGGGCATTTGACTCCGAGATTTGATTTTTTTTTTCCTGTGTGCTCACTGAGCTGTGTTGTGTAGAGCTGGAGGAGAACTGGACTGATGTTTCTGCATGTGGACGTGCATGCCTGGCTGCGGATGGGTGTGCATAAACTCATTGATCTTCTCATCCTGCATTCTTAATCTCACTGCAGGCTGGATTAGAGAATGAGAGGACCAAAAAGAAGAACTACTCCAAAGCAGTATGTATCTTGACTAACTGCCTCAGAGAGGTTTTTTTACATACGAACCCACTGTGATAGACAAAGAGTTCGTTCGAGAGCTCACCAGCCCAGTGTCAAGGATATGGTGTAACTATCAGGATTTGTTGGGTCTGCACAAATAGTGACCATCAGTTCATGTGCATAATATGGAATAATCCAAACCTTTATGTCAGTGTTGTACATAAAGGACATGTGGCAAAACTCAAAACCTAACTTGAGCTACCTAAGTTGAACTTTATTATTACACAGCAATATTGAGAGCCTATAATAGAATCACAGAATGGTTTGGGTTGGAAGGGGCATTACAGATCATTTTGTTTCACTTGCCTGCCATGGGCAGGGACACCTTCCACTAGACCAAGTTGCTCCAAGCCCCATCCAACCTGGCCATGAACAGTTCCAGGGATAGGGCAGCCACGGCTTCTCTGGGCAACCTGTGCCAGGGCCTCACCACCCTCACAGGGAAGAGTTTCTTCCATATATCTAGCCTAAATTTCCCCTTTTTCAGTCTGAACCCATTATTCCTTATCCTGTCACTACAGTTCCCGATGTATGGGTGCCTTACTAGCACCTGTACAAATAGGGCATTACTTAGAGCACCACAAAAGTGGGTCTGGAGGGAGGATAAAGGATAATGTGCTTTCACACAGTGAAGATTTTATGGGGAGCAATTCTAGGGCAGAAAAGGGTACACAAGAGAGGGCAGAGTGGTGTATGGCTGTGAGGGGAGGCTCCTCATTACAGGAAGAGGTTGCCAGGCTGGGTTGGGGTTTTTCAGTACACTGGGAATGAGCAGAGACTTCTCTGAGGAGCAGAAGTTGGATGTGGGATTGAGAAAGCCTGAAGGAGCAGCGTGAACCACAGTCTGAGGTAAAAAACATTACAAGTAGAAATGGATATAATGGCAATAAGGTGGTTTTCTGTGTCTGTGAAAAACAGAGAGGAATGAGTCAATGGCACGTGAAGGGAGAACAAGTAAATCTGAGTACTTTTGGCCTCCCTAGTATGCAATTTTATTTGTTAAGGTTTTCATGAGGGTTAGGGTTGGATGTTTAGTGTGTTAACATAGCAGAGAACAAAGGTCAACAAGGTCTGATAAAACTGACCCTGCTCTTCCAGAGCTGTCTGGAGCATTTGTCTTCAAAAATATGCACTGGAGACGTTTCTGGAGAGGATGGGTCATAGCAGCAAGGGAAATGACCTGAGCTATGGGGTTTCAGTCTGAAATCTGAAAGACACCAGGGCAAATGAAACAACTTCCTTTAGAAGGGTCTGAACTATAAAGTGATAAAAAATTAACCTGGATTTGTAGAAAATTAATTATGTCAAATCAACTTAACTTCCCTAAGCAGGGTAATTATTTAAGGGCATAAAGGAGAAGCATGAGATGTTGCTATAGCTTGACTATAAGACTCTTGGCATGTCTGTACATGACATTAAGTGAAACCTTGGGCCAGATCTAGTCCTTGTCAAAGGAATGTACTGTTGTAAAAGGAATGAAAAATAACTGTTAGAAAATGAGACAGCTGGAAAGGATCTCAACTGGTCTGTTCCCATCTAAGAGCATATCTGGTTTTTTTTAAAGGGGAAAAGCAGTTCTGCAGGAGTCTCTATTGCCTGGCTGTCAAAGTGCAGGGAGTGAAGGCAGTTTCATATGAGGTTAGGCTGAAAATATTGATGATGAATAGGAGACAACTTGTCAAAAGTAAATAACAGTGCTAATAAATGAGGAATACCACACCTGGGAAAAAAGAGGTTACTATTACAAAGTAATAGGACAGTCCAGATAGTGATCTGAGGTTTCATTTAGTCAGTATTACGCAGCTGAAAAAAGCAAACTTAATTCCTCAGTGTAGTAATAAAAGGAGTGGTGGAAGTAATAGTTCTGCACGGTGCTGTTGAGGCTGAGCTGGAGTATTGCCTTCAGTTGCTGAAGATCCATTTTAACCATTCTTCAGGGAAGTGTTAGAGAAATTCAAGGAACCTTAAAAAAGAAAAGCTAGTAAAATCTGGAAAGGAGCCAAGCTGTGTGAGAAGGCTTTAGAAGTACTTCAAACCAGTTTCTTCTTGAAAAAAGAAACTTGGATGTTTGCCCTCCATTTGGGGTGATAATACTGCATTTCAATGGAGAATCTAAGCGTTTCTTTTCCCAGAAGTGTGTTCCCAGCTTGGCTCTAAACTGATTTCCAAGTTAATTTGTTTAATTTTTCATGGAAGCCGCTGTATAGTAGATGATAAATATTTTGCTTGGAAATTGAATCAGATTGGTTTTAATGGATTTTCATTTCAGGAATGTATTAAAACTTGGACTTCAGAACTTCATTTGAATAGAAATGCTAATTAAATTTCCACTAAAACCCCCACCTCAAACACACAGAGTGCTTCCTCATTTTCAGTGTTAAACCAGGGCTGATCATTGTGAGGGGATGCCAGAACAGTGAATTGCTGGAGAAACCTGAGCTTTTAATGGCATTGATTGAGGTCACTTTTGGGTCTGTACTCTCTTCTTCAACATTGCATTTCCAGACTAAAAACTGAGTTGTGGTGATCGTTTTGTTTTATTCCTGGAGCTGCTGCCATAGGGATTTGAAGCATCTCACCCTGCTTGAGCTTGTTTTTGCCTCCTCCGAGGGAAAACAGCTCGATGACAACAAGGCTGGCCATGAGGAGGACAGCTGAACCAACCCAAATCTCTTATTAGCCTTTGGACTGCCATGCAAAATACTGGGATGTGGCAGATGGCCATTGCCTGGGTTTAATTTTGATGCTCAAAATTAAAAAGAAGAGCTAAAAAGAAGAGAATTCATACATCACTGCATGCTTACTAGGCTGAATTTCTCAAATATAAATTTAGAATGAAGTCTTTTGCTGCAATTTCCTGCATTTTAACTGCTTAGCTGCCTGAGGTATAAGTAACTATAGTGATATATATCTTTGATTGTAGTCTCTAATCCCCTTTTTGTCCTGTGTTCCCCTCACAGAGTGTTTGAAGAGATGGGGGCTATAGAGCAGTGATGATGGGGGAGGCAAAAAAAAAAAAAAAAGATTCAAAAAAAGCAGGCAGGAGTATCCTTGACATTTTTGGCTGGTATACAGGTACTGACACAAATGTTCGTGTCCTCATGTTTGAAATCATGACCCCATCCTGCACTTCTCCTGTTCCTGGTGTATCTTTGAAAAGTTCTGTCTCTGCCTTTGCTGTTTGTAAGTGATGACATTTGCTTAAAAATTCCCTTTTGGGTCTGCGTCAATTTTTGTCTCTCCTTTTTTTTCTTTCCTTTTTTCCTTTCCTTCCATAACAGACCAATGGTTATGAGGAAGACGTGTATGGATCATCCCAGAGTAGAAAATCTAGCAGGGTTAGTAGATGATTTATATTGCTATAAAATTATATTGGTCTATTTAATGGGATTAAAGCTAATCAGCAAATTCTTTCCTGTGGCAAAGCAGGCTTTTCCTGTGTTGCATGTTGTGGGTTTGGAGTTTGTCAGACACGGAGGTGCAGCACTAAGCTGGATGGGAAATAAATAACAAAAAATCAGGCCATGAGTGGGAAGGGAAGTCTCTGAATTTGGTACAAGTAGAACTTGGAAGGCAGAACTGCTTAACTGGTAAGCAAAATTGGGTAAAAGTTAAAATTGTGACAAGAAATAGATTGGCAGCACCTGGCATGGAGGATTTCCACACGCTGGACAACAGAATGATTGTTATTCAACTTTGTCAAACATGCTCTTGTCAAAAAAAAAGCTTAATTATTAACTCCATTGTGCGTATGCGGGTCACAATGTTCCCTTCTGTTCCAGCACAAGTGTTGTGTGTCAATTATAGCAGCTCATCGTCCTCCTTTGTTAAATATTGGGGTTTGTGCAAATGATTTAAAGGGACTGCCTGAAGCAGAGCCTGGGGGGCAGGGAGGGAAACTGTTTGGGTTCTTTTACTTGCCTTTATTTTAAGCTCAGAGCCTGGTGATCTTTGTGCTATCGGGTACTTGTAAAGAAATTTAGTGGTATGCAGACTAAAGCTCTGTTTCTGGGGGGAGAATAAACTCCCTTTCAGACTCCATTTAGCCAAGTGTTTGAGCAATATATGCTAAACATGAGATAGAGTTCAGGGGGTTACTTTGTAAGCATGAAGTTAAGCAGATGCTTGGATAAACAGTGAAACGGGACCTTATATTTCATGTCCATTTTAAATTGTTGCTGCCATCTAGTTTTATGCATTTAGCTTGTGTGTGTTGATAAGAGACAATGAAATACTGTTGCTTAAACTGTTAACAAAACAGCATGTCCTGTTGTTGGCACTCTTGCTGGACAGTTTGACGAGTTCAAGGAGCTTTATTATGCAGTACTTGTGACAAATGATGTTCTTATTCTTTACTGACATACTCCAGTGCTCCAAGGACTGCAGGGAGAGCAAAAGACCTGCAGGATTGTCGTCCAGGGAAAAGGAGTTGTTTGGCTTCCATTCAAGTAATTTAAAATCATCATGATATTAGGGTTTGCAGTAAGTAGGGAGGTTTAGTCTGTGTAGAGCTTCATTACAACAACATTATTAGTTCCTGGCAGTTTTCATTACTAAAGGTAATTCGGATTAATCATTACTTAGGAGGCAGAGGAAAGTTCGAGGGTAACTCAGAATAGCTGAAACCCAGTTGATGCCAGTCTGGCTAGGATTCACCTCTCTCCAAGAAGCCCAAATCTAACCACAAAGATGTCAAAGTGACAGTGAAAAACAAGAGGAAAATTCTTCAAGTTGCCAGGGAAGGGACAATCTGCTGGTAATAGCTGTTCCCAAAATAGGTGCCCAGTTCTAAGTTACAGAACAGACTGATCTCCATGTGAACACTGCATTTGTAGTGCCACAGGTTGATTCCTTAAATGTGATTAATGCCATGAGTTTAGGTAGTCCACATGCAGATTGCAGGCTCTCTATGTGAAAATGAAAGTAATTTCTTAAAGCTTAGTTTAGTTCAGGTTTCTTTTCAGTGAAAGTCTTATTTTACAAACATTGATTGAAAGGTTTTCATCTGTGGGTTGGTTGTTTTTGTGTTGTTTCTTTCTGAGGCTGGACAATGATTTGCCTTCAGTCTGTGCCTGTGGGTATTGTGTCTCATCCACACATGTGTTTGCTTGCAGTGACAGAAGTCCTGTGTCAAGGGCAAACAAGTTATTTTAATTTGCCATGGATCTCCCTCCTTTGTGAATGGACTTAACACCTACATGGATCGTAGTGATGAGGCAAAGATGAGTTAGGGCTTGTAAGAAGTTGGCTACTGAAAGCAGAGTATCTCGGTTGCCTAGACCCCCTAAAAATTATGGGAGAAGTGCAATGTCAGAGAGCAGCTGGAAAAGGAGGGCTCTGCAGTGTAGCAAAGGAGGTGAAGGTGTGAGATCTTCCAGAACAACCGTTCCCACCAGCCTGCACACACCCGTGGGAAAATAAGAAATATAAACAGTGCCTGGGAGGCTTTGAAAATACCTTTGCAACTTCTTGCAGGAGGCTGAGTGAGCACCCGAGTCATTTCGGGTGGGTGGGGATGTGAGGAGGCAGCATTTCCTCCCTGTCCCTTCGTGCTGCAGCGTGTGCTCACCCCTGAGCACCCCTTCCTGGTGAGCTTTATTCCCCACCACTTGGCTCCAGGTGCAGCTGGCCCTGGTACAGCACAGAAACTTCCTTAGCACATCTCAGATGTGCTTTTAGGCTGCTCTTTTTCCTGAAAATAAGGAAAATGCAAAGTATACTTCCTAGTATGCCTGTATTCTCCTGATTCCTGTGGCTCTGTAAAATGCATAATGTCTTATATGTGCATTTCCAACCTGCATTTGAAAGACCTGGACTTGCAAATTTAATATTCCTGCATATTAAAAGCAACTGTTTATAACAGCTTAAGTTTTTCACAAAGTCTTGTTGTGTGTTCTATTTAGACACGTAACATATCCACAGGGGCTTCTCCTAAAGCTTTTGGGAAGCCAAAATACTGAGTTGCATTCTGTTATAAATACCCTACTGCTGTCAGCCTCCCTGGCAAGCCCCACGTGCTTGTGTTGAGGTGTTTGCACAGTGTAAGTTCTCACAGATAACACCTGGCAGTGGATGAGCTGACCTGGCATCCTACACTCCATACAGGTGCTGGGGAATGCATGCAGATGTTGTATATCATACTGGACAAACAAGGATTTCAGAGGGTCAGGGTGATTTTTTTAAGTCCACTGGAGTTGTAAGTCAGTCACTAGTAGTAATTCAAGTGTTTAACTTGGAGTTGAATTAAGATCTCCCTAATTTTGGGGAGACTGAGTAGGTGGACCAAAGTCCTGGGTTGGCTGGATGCAAGGTAGGAAGCTGCATAAAAGAAGGGGTTTAATTTAAATAAGGTGTTTGATTTAGACAGTCTCACTTCCTACAGAAGAGTTTCCACTTCACTCAGCCTTGCTGTATCTGACAGTGGGCTACCCACATTTCCTGCTGGGCACACCCAACAGTTTAGGTCCCTGGCTTTGCTTTCTATCTCCCAGCATCTCACCTTCTCCTGCATCCCTTGTGGGTGTAGCTTATAGGGCATAAGCTCCTCAGGAACTCGGAAGGAAGCTGACCAACTCTCTGACCAGTGCATTTTTCCAGTGCCTGAGAGGGCACACAGTTCTCACACACCCTCACAGCTTTAATGCAGTTCTCTCTTATTTTGGAACCCGTGACCAATTTGACTCCTTGCAGTTTGTAATCACTTGATTTACTTTTTGCTTCCCATTTAAAGGAATTGAGAACTCAGCTTCATGTTACGAAGCCAAGTTCTCAAGGACTTTTTGTTTGTTGTTAACACAGGCTTCGTACTACTCTGATCTGGGTCTGCACAACAGCGGCTACGCTTCCACATCTCAGCTTCCTTCTCAAAATGGAAATTGGGTCTGTTGCCCTCTGGCTTCACCTGGCCTGGACTTGTCCTGACTTCATTTGGATAATACAACCTCTTGTACTTAGGAATCAATTTGGACCAATTGTCAAGAGACTCTGTAGCTATTTTAAGTAAAACTTAAAAAAAAAAAAACCAAACCAAAACCAAACCAGACCTTTTAAGATTGGAATGAGTAATGGAAAGCTGCTTTAAAAGGAACGCAATCAGTTTTCCTTTGCTGCTCCTCCCTTTCTTACATTTACTTTGGCTGATATTGGCTTCAGTTGGTCTGGAAAAATAAGGGAAATCTTAATTAACTCAAGTTCTCTATTTGAGGCAACTCCTCTGCTCATTATGTCAGTCTGGCGAGCTTAAGACAATCCAGTCTGCATGAAGTGAAATTGCAGGGAAGCAGTTCCCAGACTGCTAGAGGAGAATCACTGAGTCTGTAAAATCCCCAGGAGGTTGGATTGTCCCGTGTGTGGGCAGAGCTGGGCCAGCCCCGTGCCAGCAAGCAGTGCTCGAGCAGTGCTCCGGGCCCACAGCCTGTCCTGGCTGGGAGCAGCAGTCAGGAATATCACAGTGCAGTGATGGGACACTGCAGATGTGTGGGAGGGGGACTTGCAGCAGGACCTTGCCTGCAAGCCTTGGGCTGGGGACCACTGCTGGAGTTTCCCTTGCACCTAATTCTGCCAGATACAGTGTGTGCTCTGAGTTTAGCTGCTGCATCTCAGGAGTTGTGGTTACTAACAGCGGAACCACTTGTTTCATGCTCTGACTTAAGTATTTGTAATTTTTTCCTGAACTATTTGGATTTTCTCTGCATTTGTGGATAATAAAATACACAACAGTTGATCTTAAATCTGTGTGAAACACTTAAAATGTGTATCCTAACCCTTCTGTGTAGCTTTTTCTCTGGTTTTGGTTGATGTGGGGAGAAACACCCTTTCTGGCTCCTGTACACAAATGTGTGTGAGACAATAACAACTTGACAACCTAAAATTGAATTACACTGTTTTGCTTTTGCATGCTGCCATGTCCTCCCTTCCTGTAGGAAATGCATGTGTCTACTTGGTATTCTTAGTCTTTGGGAGCTGAGAGCTAATGCTTTTATGGTGCAGATGACTAATATTCTCTATACTGGGTTTCCTTCTGTTGTAGTGTAATGATCCTAATTTCTCCCCAAGATGGTTAATTCTGCTGTAGGCGCCTTTTTTTTTTTGTTTCAATTTTCTCTGCAAAAAAAAGTTTTGTGCTTGTCTTCCTCAGCCCTCCCTGCTGTACAGTGATGCCCTGCCAGCCAGAAGTTACAGGGTTTGTTGTACTAATGCTTTAAACACAAGTTCTGAAGCCACTCACCTCCAGCCATGCACATGTTGTCTCTTTCCTGTTGGGTCCATTTATCTCATTCTGTGATGTCCGATCCATCCGACTGCATGTGTGCAATGTCGTTTGTACAGGCCTGGATTTGCTGATCATTCCTTTAAATCCTGTTGGAACTGTGGGGTTGTGATGCTGTCACGGGTATCTGTCTGTCTGGAGATGGTTGTCTTAGTTTCCATGTATGAGCAGGAGCAGGACAGAGGCAACATCAATTCTTTCTGGTTGTTTAACAACTAAAAAAAAATCTGCAAATTTTTTTAGACAAATAGCACCATTTTTATTTAAAATGAGCTTCTCAGAGCTTTTTCTCAAAGCTTAGTGTTTCTACTTCCCTTGTGTTTCCTGAGCCATGTATCTCTATGCTAAACTGGAGCCAATCTTAAAATACACGTTTTATTCCTCTTTTATTAGTTTATTAAACTGGCTAGTGAGTTAAGAGCATCAGGTGTGAGTTTTTCCTCTTATTGCCAGCACCAGAAATGAAGGTTTAACAGACAGAAACAATTTAAGAATTGATGTAGCCGTTTTGTTGACAGGCAGTAAAACTGTTGCATTGAATTGAGTGTTGACTTTAACCCCCGGGAGAAGGGTTAGAAGTGCACGATGTGTGATGGACTCGGGGTGTGTGTCAGACTCTGCACGTGCCTCGTGGTGTTTCCCAGGTTAGACCTTCCCTTGCATGTTGCTTGTGGTTGCACACAGGAGATGTCCCAGTCCTCTCACATCCTGTTCATTCCCTCACGTCCTCTGTGCTGCACCGTGTGAGTTTGGAATTCTGTGAGTTTGGAATTCTGCAGCCTGAAAGGTGACCTGCCAGTCCTGCGCTGACTCTGTGTTTTAATTGTAGGCGTCTGTGTACGAGGAGAGCGCTTACAGCGGGAGCCGTCGGTATAGTGCCCCTAGTTCTCGTGCTGTAAGATGTTTTCTGCATTTCCCTGCTGTGTGTCTCTGTCCTCCCTTTATCTGTATGCACCAGGACTCAGCCTTTTGTGGGTTGAGGAACATTTAAGATGAACTGTGTGAGATCCAGAGCTTGCTGCTGCAGGTGTCATAAGTAGTAGCACCGTTTCCAGGAGATTCCATGAAATAAAAAGTGGGTGGTTTATCTGCAGAGAGGGGAATTTGGCCCTGCTTCGCACTTGGTTTGCAGATAAAACACCTTGGAAAGGTGGTACGTGAAGTCCTGTCCCTCGCTGAGACTTAATTCTTCTTTGGAAAACTGAGAAAAATGCGAGTCTAAAAAATAATTAACAAAAAAGTTCAAAATCAGTTCCACGTTAGCAATCCTATGCTAGCGTGAAGCAAAGGATTTTTGTGAACAAATGACTTGCTTGGATTTGTTTCTTGGATTTGTATTCAAATATATTTTATATTCATATACATGCCAACTCATGACAAGTCTTCCAAATTACATGTTCCTGAGAGCGGAGAGCTCTGTCATTGATGGGGAGCAACAATATGGGGAATAACAGTATAAGTTGTTTCCTTTCAAAAAACAGAAACTGCAGGACTTGGTTTACAGATTAGAAGGCAGAAAATGCCTTCACCTCTTCTCAAAGAGGGCCTTTGTGTCGTGGTGGGCATTCGGGCCAGGTGGTATGGCTGCTGCTGCTGTGCCCACCTGGGAAAAAAAATAAAAGCCAGTATTCTTTTGATTCTTAAGTCCTGCCCTGGGGGCCCATTGATTATAAAAAAGACCCCAACCAACCAAAAAGACCCCAGCAAACAAAAATCCACCATCTAAGACCGTAAGAGTAAAAAGACTCAGGACAAAGCATTGATGTTAATTTAACCTTAAACATTACATTTTTATTAGCCTGGAGGAGGAAACTCTTTCCAGAATGCTTACTGAACACCTGTTAGTCTTTAAAGGGCTGCGCCATCCTCTTGCAGTCCCATTGTTTCATTAGTTGTGCTGTGCATCTTCCTACTGATGTAAAGCTTCAAATTGCTTTTTGTTTCACAATTCTGCCTTGATTTCCTTTGTCTGCCTCGGAAAATTCATTGATACTGACCCGTTTGCAGTGTTGTGGCAGCAGCCTGCAGTTCAGTGAGTTTGCCACTGAGGCTGAGCTGGTTGTAGCCCTGTGTTTTTATGGGATGTTGTCTTATGTTTGGGTTTAGTCCCTCGGAGGTCCAGATGATGCACTGCTGCTCTGGGGAAAAATCATTTACAGCAGGCTCTCAGCCCAGGAACTGTTTACAAATCTTTCACCCGCTGTTAATGGCTTGAGCAGGGAACACTCAATAAAACTCTGGTGCTTATTCCCCTTCCTCCATCCCAATCCCACCCTGTGCCACAGGTCTTTGGAAGCCTGTGTGTAACCCAGCTTTTCCAGCTCCTGTTGAATGGTTGCCTGTAGTAATGAGAGAGTTAAAGTAGGAGGGGTTTGCTTCCAAGGGAATGACCTTGTCACAATTACCAGGTTATCTGTGGTTATTTTGATGTCTCTAAACCTTGCAGCACTTTTAACACGTAGAGGGAGTGCCATTGGGGTAGCTGTTCCCAAAGAATGTTTTTGGATGGTCAGGTGAATGCAGGGGGTGAGGCTGAACCCAGCCCTGTTTGGTCTCAGCCAGCTGAACAAGTGCACTTGCTTCCATACCCTGCCCTGCAATGCACCGAATAAATAGGCCCTGGAAGCATTAATGTTGGACTCATCAGTAATTAATACTTTTTCCCTGTCACGTGTTTCAAATTTATTCTAAACCTTTCTTAGGTTAAACATAAACCACTGGTGATGGCCAAGGCTTCTGTGCTCAAACTGCTTAATAAGAAAAGAGAATATAAATTTTTACTTCAGTACTTTATGTCTTTAATTTAGGAATTAGTGTGACTGACAGTAATTGTAAACAGTGTGCAACAGAGTTCTATATTATGCATATTCTCACCTCTGAAATGAAGCTCAGGTGCACGAAGCCAGTGTCATGTCATGTGAGACTTAAAATGCCAGAATGGTTTGGGTTTGAAGGGACCTTAAAGATCATCTCGTTCCACCCCCTGCCATGGGCAGGGACACTTTCTACAAGACCAGGTTGCTCCAAGCCCTGTCCAGCCTGCCCTTGAACACTTCCAGGGGTGGGGCAGCCACAGCTTCTCTGGGCAACCTGTGCCAGGGCCTCCCTCTGAGTGTATCCAAGGACATGGCTTGGCCACGTTCTGCCCTGCCTGAGGGCTTGCTAAGGGCTGTATACCTTACACATAGTGCTTTGTGGTTAGTAACTAAGCTTGTGGTTGTATTCTAGCTGGGGTTATTTCCAGCTTACTCTCTTACCACTTATTAGTGCTGTAAGTTTAATTTCCAGTCAATGCTGTGCTGCTTTGTTAGTGTGACTAAACAGTGTGCTGAAACAGCCCTCCAGTAGCTTGGTGAAGGCCTGGTTGTCTCTGCAGCTGAGAAGTACAGAGATTCCTGTAGTGATCAGGTAACATAATAAAAGAAACCTTAAGAAAAGACAGAGTATATGCATCTTAAAAGTATTATAATTCCTTAGGTTTCTCCATTTTTGTATCTGAGGAAAAGTCTTAATCACCTATAAAATAAACTCATTATTTCCAGAATAAGTTTTAGTTTTATTTCTCTGGCACTTTAATTTCCCTTCTCTACTTCCATTGCATTATAACCTCTGGAAATAAAACAGTATAGACACATTCTTTGTGCTTGTCAGCAACAAGCCAGCCCTGTGTGTTCTGCATCACTGCTTAGATGTTTGCTTTTAAGAAGGGCTTAGACTTTCTTTGGCAGGAGATGAAGACTGCAGATGCTGGAAAAGCAGGAGAGATACTCAGTCTCTGAGATGGTCTCAGTTTTTGCTTTAATCCCGGATGGATGGATATTTCTTGCTTTGGCCTGTGGAGCATGGATTCATTTTATATGTGCACAATGTTGGAAACACGGGAAAAAGATTCACCAGAGAACCTCAGAGCTCTTGGAAAGTAGGATGGAGCCTTTTGTATAGAAACTGAGGGTTGTTTACTTGTGACTGGTACCTTAAGAGATATAAATGAATCATTAGTATTCTGTCATTCAAATAATTTAACCAAAACTCTGCCTGATCCGTCAATGGACTTACTACTTGCCTTAAATTTTAAATTAACACTTGAGGTGTCTGCTCTCTTTCACTGCTATTCCTTTGTCCAGCTGCATGAAACCATTTTCGTAACTAACTTCAGATGTAATGCTCTACATCCTCTCTTGCTTCTCTTCCCAGTTCTAATGCCTTTCTCTTTTCTCTGCTTGCTGTTCCTGGTTTACCTGCGGCAGCCTTCCGAGTACAGCTGCTACCTTGGTTCGGGATCTCGGGCATCCTCAAGAGCCAGCTCTGCTCGGGCCAGTCCAGTGGTGAGCTCCTCTGTTTATCTTTGTCCCTGAACTGTTTCATTCCTCTGTTCTTCAAGGTCTGTTTTGTGCTAAGGGGTCACTGTCCCTCATGAGACAGTTTCTTACGGTATCAATTGGACCTTCTGGGCAACGCTTAAGACAAAGAAGGGGTGAACCAGATGAGATGTTACAGAACCAAAGTAATTTCGGTGCAGATGCACGTGTTTTTACAACAGAAAGTACAGTTTGGACTTGTGTGACAGTGCTAAATTTATTTTAAGTTGGGCATGAAGCACACTGGCAAGGGTATTATGAAAAAGACTGGTGCTAGTACTGCATCTCCTTCGTGGATTAAAATCAGGAAACTCTAAATCTTACTGCAGCATTTATGCAGTTTAGTTTCTCTACATCGAGTAGTTATTTTAGTGTTGTGTTGCTGCAAAGCTGCAGGGTGCTCCAGAGGTTGAATTTGGACATGTTTATGGGTCTGTAGAGTACCAGGCGCTGAAGACCCTTGAGCATGGTGAAGTTCTAGAAGGATAACGTGTACCCAGCATGAATTCCTAAATTGTGGCTGAGCAGGGCTGAAATACTAAAGGCTTGTCCAGCATCTGCTGTTCTTTGATACGAAGTAACTGTCTTTGATTTTTTTTGTGGCATGCTGTGCTTTCTCTTTGTGGTTGTTTCCATTTTGCTGTTTACAACTGAGTATCTTCCCTGATTAATTCCCGAGCACGAGCTGATAGTGTGGTGACAATAGCAGAGTGCAGCAGGATGTCTCTGAGAGGAAATGTGCAGCTTAAGGTCTATAACAACATTAATTTTCCATAGAGAGTGGGTTTTGAAGCGTTGCACTGAGTTTCAATAAACTGGCTTTGCTTCATGGAAACCTTCCTTTTAGGGAAGTTTTACTGTGCTCTTTCTCCTGGGACCTGTCATGTGTTACCTGCCACATCCCCAAGAAAAAGGGGTGAGGAGGGTGTAAATTAACACACACAGCATGCTGCTCTAGTCATAACATCCCGCTGCCTTTGCTGAGGAGCTGGAACTTTAATGCTGTAAATGTTGCCTTAAGGACTAATTAAAAAGGAGTATCTGGATCGGCAAGAAAGCTGCCACAGCAACAGCTGAGCTGTAGCACGGACACTTGGGGTGTTCCTCTTTGGGAAACACATGCAGGCTGCAGAAAGGAATTGCTTTGTGTTCAATGTCCCCATCGTGGGAACCTGCAGCAGAGCTGGAGAGGGACTTTGGACAAGGGCATGTCCTAACAGGAGAAGGGGAATGGCTTCTCCCTGACAGAGGGCAGGGTTAGATGGGATATTAGAAAGAAACTCCTCCCTGTAAGGGTGGTGAGGCCCTGGCACAGGTTGCCCAGAGAAGCTGTGGCTGCCCCACCCCTGGAAGTGTCCCAGGCCAGGTTGGACAGGGCTTGGAGCAACCTGGTCTGGTGGAAGGTGTCCCTGCCCATGGCAGGGGGCCGGAATGAGCTGAGCTTTAAAGTCCCTTCCAACCCAAGGGACTGTGATTCTGTGCTGGTTCCCCCTTAAAATGTAGTCTGCAATTTGAATACTGATAGAACAAAACTATGTGCTCTGAAATATTGGTGTTTCTTAAAGACGAGGGTAAAAATTAATTAAAAAAGAAAATTATTTTCACCAGATAATGTATGGCAGCCGGTGAGCTATAAATAAATCAGTATTTCAATTAGTCCCTGAACCTGAGTCCCTGAGCTATGAGTTCTTGCAGTATATAACTTACATTAGTAATACTTCTTAAATGTCTTTGCAAACTGAATTTCAATTATCCCCAAAGCAAAAGTTAATCAGAATAAACAGAGATTCCATTAAAATTCTTTAAGGGTAAGGAGCTGGGTACCCATATGCTGCTGTTGGTTTCCATTAGGTGTTTTTGGTATGCAAACCAAGTAATCCGTGCAAGTTGCTTATGGGAATCACAGGATGCAGTTTGCCCCTCCTGGGAGCTGCACAAGAGGTTTTCTATTTTAAAATTTTAATTCTCTACATACACTTTGGCCTGTTGGTATGCAAGTGGCTGGGGATGGTTTGCTGTGTCAGCACCAAGGTGCCAAGCTGAATCTGCTCTACAGGGAGACAATAGGCACTTCTTAAACTATTTTTTTTTTTTAATTAGTGGTTTACTGCAGGGTGTGAAGAGCTTGCCTTATCTCCATGGCCTTGAAAAAGAGCTGAGAGTTAATGCCATAGTGAGTCTAGTTGATCCTCAAAGTCTTTATTACTACACGGGGTCAATACAGCAGCACCTTGTGATAATAATATTATTTTCCCTTTCTTCCCCCTGTATTAAACAGACATTGCTTTACCTGAACTCACATTGAGGAATCACTTGCCTTTTACTAACAGAGGTTTCAAAGCATTTCAATAATGTTTTCGGTTGTATACTTGATCTTGGCAGTAAAGATGCTGAGATAGAGCCCTGTCTTCTCAGCAGGCTCAGCAGTGCATGGCTTCCACTCCTGAAATGTCAGCTGCTGGGAATTCCTGAAGGAAGAATAAAGATCTCCTTGGACGACAGTGATAACCTGAGAGGGAAAAAAGGGCTGGTTTTGTTTATATCATTAGTCAACATTAGAACTTTTTGTTTCAACATCACTAAACCACAACACCGAGTTGTTTCCTGCCTTAATCATATGGTTTCTTGATTTTGCTTTATACATTTTCTGGGATTTACACACGTAAAAATTCGATTCCAAGTTTACTTTTTAAATGGTTGGTGGAGGAGAAAGAAAAGGGGAATATCTGTTGGGTTGAAAAGCTGTTTCCAGCATGCTTGTGTCAGTTTAGAGCGGGACAGTTTACAAAATCATGTACTCTGATCATGCATGCTTAACACATGATTTTCTTATGATTATGGGCATTATTAGGCAGAAAACCAAAACTGAGCTGTTCCCAAGCCTACCAACTACCATGAGAAATTATACTTGGGGAATGGAGAATGATTCCATTGACCTTTCTAAATTAAAGCATACAACAGCTAGTCACTGCAGCCCTTAAATTTTTTTCTCAGAATTTTGTTACCTCCTTCTATCATTGTTCACTAAGATTTCAGCAAAACAGTAGTTTTCCTGCTGTGCAGAACTTTGCCAGCTTGTGTTCTCTGTGCTACCATGTTGGTAATACAGGAAAAAGCAGGAAGGTACTTAAACATAACATGTGAATATTTGTCTTTGTAGTTATTTTTACAAATTCACTGTATCTGCATGAAGTTTGCTGTGTGTTTATTTTTCTTTAACATTTTGCCTGTTACCCCAGGAGTAATCATCTGCTGTCCTTGCAGTCACTGCAGCTATGCAAATGTGCTGTTTAATACTAAAGAATTATCCTTATAAAAAATACAGATCTCAAGACTACCAAGAGCAAACAGCAGGTCCTTTTGTGCAGATGGAGGTAAATCTTGTGCCTGAGCTATCGGCATGTTTTGACTGAGACGGGCTTTTAGTATGAATTGTAGAAGTTTGGGGGTTTTAAAATTAAAAAGCTGAATAGACTCGGAGTGCAGGAGTATTTATCTGAAGGCTTTCTGAGCAAAGGCAGGCAAAATAATAGGAGAGGGCACATTTTGCTACCCTGAGAAGATGATGGTTTATCCTGGCTCTCTCCCTTCCTGAGGAGGCTCAGGCAGTGGGCACGAGCAGTTGGCATCAGATGGGCTGGTACCGACAGCAGTGTGAGCGTGTGTAGAATCATGGAATATCCTGAGTTGGCAGGGACTCACAAGGATTATCGAGTCCAGCTCCTGGCCCTGCACAGGACACCCCAACAGTCCCAACATGTCCCTGAAAGCATTGTCCAAATGCTTCTTGAGCTCTGGCAGCCCTGAGGCGGTGACCACTGCCCCGTGGAGCCTGTTCCAATGCCCAGTCACCCTCTGGGGGAAGAACCTCTTCCTGACATCCAGCCTAAACCTCCCCTGACTCAACTCCAGCCATTTCCTCCAGTCCTGTTAATGGTCACAGAGAACAGAGATCCGAGCTGCTCCTCGTGAGGGAGCTGCAGACCATGGTGAAGTCTGACCTCAGTCTCATCTTCTCCAGGCTGAACAAGCCAAGTGCCTTCAGCTGCTCCTCATATGGCCCCTCCAGACCCTTCATCATCTTCATTTCCCTCCTTTGAATGCTCTCTAACAGCTTTAGATGTTTGTTACATTGCAGTGCTCAGAACTGCACACAGTATTCCAGGGGAGGCTGCCCCAGAGCAGGGCGAGACAATCTCCTCTCTCAACCGTCTGGCAATGCTTTCTTTGCCTGATGCCCCTCAGGACACCGATGTCCCTCCTGGCTACCAGGGCACTGCTGACTCATATTCAGCTCACCATCAGTGAGGACCTCAGATCCCTTCCCGTGACACCGATTTCCAACATCTCGTTCCCAGTCTGTCCATATGTCCAGGTCATACACACGGTGCTCAGGTCACATTGATTGTGCATTGTTGAGAACAGCTTTGTTCATTGGAAGAAGCTCATGTTCTCACCAGAAATAAAATTAAGACAGTGACAGACTTAATTTTGACATAGGCTCTTATCAGGTTTTGCCTTCCCTCCTCTACACCTGAAGGTTTATCCAAGCCTGGCCTCTGACAGTCTGGATGTGCTTTGGGCCCCTCCAGAGTGAGGATTTGCTGCAGCACTGACTTGCATTTCAGAGGCTGATAAGTTTGTTTAAGCAATGACGTTTGGCATAGCACTCATTCCTGAGCGAGGATTCTTCTCACAAACCAGCTTCAGACCTGAAAAATTTTCAGCAGTGGATTTCCCCTGCTGACTTTGAAAGGCTTGTTGCTAATTGCTAGTGTTAAGGTGGCTCTCCTTGGAAAAACACGCAGGGACTCTGTGTTACTGCCTGGCCCAGCCCAGCCGATCAGACTGGTAAGATGGGGATTTTAGGAGGGGTTATACTGCCTGCAGTACCTCTTTTGTCTTTTTTAATTCCAGGTTTTGTAGGTACCATCCCTGTGTTCAGCACTACCTATTGTAAAAATTTTTCTTCATTGTTGACCATGTTTTCATTTCAAACTGTGCTGTACTACTTTAAGAGAGCAGGAAATGACTTAATTTGATTTGTCACCATAAAAAACCCCTTGCTTTCCTGAGAAAGTTGATCTAAGTGCAGGATCTTAGATGGGGCTGAGCAGTGACAGCCACATACTGAACACACTGAAGTTGTTCTGATACCCGAGAGTGGTATGTAGCACAACCAGTCAGCAAGTGTTCCAGATTTCCCTTCTTCTCTAGCCTTGTTCAGGAGCCTGGAAGCTGGAAATTGTGCCTTAATCCTGTTCCTTTTGTTGATTTTAAGAGCTCTTTATTTAGGAGTTGTTTTGTTGGATGCTCTCTGATAGTGCTGCAGGGACTCTAATTTTGGCCTGGACACTCCCTGGTGGCAAAGAGCTTCAAGGGTTAACGCACTAACCGACTGCAGAGTACAGAGAAATACTTTCTCAAATGTTGCACTAAAATGTATTTATTATCTATGAAAAATAGGCACTGTATCCATATACAGGCTTGTGGGATGATTTTGCTCCTGTTACACTTCCAGCTGCAGTAAGCCTTTGATACTGCTGACATTTTTGTAACGTGGCTCTGGATTTATTCCGAAACCCCTGTCAGAAGAGGCTGAACTCTGATCCCATTGCACTTATTTTGCAGACAGCAACCTATTCCCTTTGCCAAAACAAAGATATGCGTGCTGGAGCTCCTCGGAAAATTGCTTCCTTTTCCTGCTTTTTTACGCAATAAGGAACAAATTGCCCAAGTTGTTGGTGAAGAGGAAGATAATCTGTGATCAGAGACAGACCCGTACCCTTGTGCAAATGAAAAATGGTGCAGTGTTCTGTAAAGTATCATTAGGTGAATCCCTCTTTAAATCTCCTTTTTAGCAAGTATTCTCTCAGTCCTCTGTGTGGGAAAAGTCCCAAAGCCAGAATGTTTTTTTTGAACAGCTGTGCTTTGAAGGTGAAGAAGTTATTTTCAAACTGTTTAATAATTGTCATGTTCTTGATTGAACGCTAAAATAGAAGGTAAGTATTTTGGGCAAGAATTCTGAACAACTTCAAATAAAACCAAACATTTATTCCCTGACCTTTCTCTGATTTCGTGCTGAATCAACTGCCAAAGGGCTTGTGGGGGACTGGATGAAGGCTGGAAACCTGGAGTTAGTTCCCTCTGGTGGCTAACTGCTGTTGAAAAGCAAAATTATCTCTTTATAGAAGTGATACTGTGAATACATTAATCTAAACATGAGCAGAATGAAAACTGTATAAAATATTAATCTACTGTCTTTCTAGAAGACAGGTTTTGGTGTTTCACTGCCATGTAACCATAAAATTCAATGCTGCTTGTTTCAGACTGACCTTTTGCTTAGAGAACTGTTGTGTAGCAGGAGGCATCTTTGTAATGTAAGGATATTATTTTGGAATGAGGAACTGGCATTTCTCAAGACATTTTACATTTTTTAAGTGTTAATATTTAAATAAGTTAGTAGTAGTAATTACTGGCTCTGAGGGGAAAATGCTCTGAGTATGCCATTCAGGGCACCAAATGGATGTGTGCAGGAGCATCACTAGGGAAAACGAAATCTCCTGGTTTGTTTTTTCAAACTACCTCAATTTTAGATGTTACTTAATAGCTTTAATTATAACAGATTATGCTCCATTAGAGTTATTATTTAAGATTGTTTTGCAATAAAGGTGTAGCAGGCTTCACAGGTGTGGTTGTGAGTGCTCTGAGTACAAATATTCACTGTAGTCACTTCTCTCACTATGTTGTCTTCAACATTTTCCCCTTTGTAAATGGAAGCTTTTATTTGACTCACGTGGTGCACCATTAAAACAATATCAATATTTGCTCCCTTCTTTATTTTACTAAAAACTGAGATTGCACATAATTTCAGAAAATAGAGGCCATTCTGCAGATGGCTTAAGGAAAATAAATGTTTTGAGTTGTGCCCTGAACCTGTAAAGGCAGATTTTGCAAAGGCTGTACAAAAACTCCTGGAGGTAGATTTGCGTGTGTGTGTGCACACTAATCTTTTGTCACATGCCAGTATTGACACTGCCACAACTCTCTTGATAAACAACCACATAGTGCTTGGCCAGGCTAAAAGGCTGCCAAATCCAGCACTTGGAGCTGTCTGTCATGAAAATAAAAGGCTGTTTGCACAATTCAGTCCATCTTGTTTATGGGGTCTGAACTGAAGTATCTGCCTTCATTAGTTACCTTCTCTTACTGCATCCAAATTCAGAGATTTGAGGGTTTTTTCTTAAGTATTTTGTGTATTCAGCGTCTTTGCAAAGTTTAGACCTAGAGCTTTAAGTCTGGCTTATTTTACTTCCAAGCCTCAGACTTAAACTTTTTAATGCTAATTCGTAGGGCATTTATGCTACGAGATGTATTGTAAGTGTAAGAAGCTGATTTGTAATAGATACCTCTCAGTTCTCAGATTTTTTTTTTAATAGGGTACCATGGATAATATAAAAAAATAATGAGTTGGATCATTCCCATATTATTCTGCATAATTCAGATAAAACCCCCGCTGTGAACTGATTGGAAGGAGAGGTAGTTTTTGAGTGTGTTGTCAATGGAAATTGCCAGTTAAACCACAACTGTCCCCTGCCTTCCCCTGAATAGGGTCTATCCTGATTATTTTTCCAGTAATTTCAAAACCATTATTGCCTTTGGCTCTTAGTCTCTTGTTCTGGAGAAGCCCTTAGTTTCTAGGATTCCTTTGGGAAACCATCTTGACTCTGATGCTGAAATGTTCCCAGAAGAATTTGACAAGTTCGGGAGTTCTTGCATTCTGCTAAGCTTTTCATTTCATTCAGTCCTTTTTTACATTTAGTTCTTAGTAAAGTGTATATTTCATTTCATTTCAGAACAGGAAAAAGTTGATAAGATGGTTCCTATCAAGAAAAAAATTCCTACTGGTGTTGTACGTGGGTCTTGTTCTTTAACTTTCTTTTAAACGTTTAAGCTGTTTGTATCCATGCTAATTTTCTGTACTCCTAAATAATATTTTGTTTTGTTTCTTCTAGACTAGTTTTAGTGCAGGATCTCTTCCGAATTAGAAAATTGCAGTGCAGTACTGAAACCCTAAAAGAGCTGTTTATTTACACTTTGAGCTGATCTCATGATATTTGACTTGAGGATCAGTTTTGTAGTCTTGGATCTTTGCTTGAAGTTGCAGTTGCTGTTTTTCTTGAGTGGGGAATATTTACCAGAGGTTTTTAAGGTGTAGATTTCAAGTCTTAACTTGATACCTTGTTTTTTGGGACCAGGGAGGATGAAGTGGCAGGCTTCAGAGGAGCCTTTTTTAGTTAAGGTCCATAAAAAATGCAACTTTCAAGAAGCTGCCTTGGTCTGGAAATCTGTTGATCTTCCAATTAAAAAAAAAAACCTTCCCTTCTCTCTTTAAATAAATTACTATTTGGGGTTCATTTCAGGCATATTTTTAAGTTGTTGTAAAGTAAATAGGAGCAGCTGCATTTGTCAGGACAGCAGTTGCATACAGCTGTTTATGTCCAGGGAAAGACATCTGGAACTTCGAGTTCATTCCCAACTAGACCTTTGTACTCCTGCATTGCCAACTCATAGATCGTGTGTCATCTTCATGTTTGAAACACTGTGATGCAGAGTATAGAAAAATGTATTCCTCTGCCTTATTTAATAGACCAAGTAGTTTTTTATCAATAAGCATATTTCACTTAATTACACTCTGCCTAGAAATTGGAGGTGGATTGTCCAGCCTTATGCCCTGAGGTACCAGCCACGACACTGCTGTTCTGAGAGAGCTGGCTGCCTTTTGAGTGGGTAGAAATTGCTAATGAGAAGTCTTTTACAGCTTTAAGAATTCTCTTTCTGGTATATTACTGCCTTCTCTTATCCTTTATTTATTATATTAATGAATCCTTCTCAATCTTTGTTTCTTACAGATAGAAGAAAGGCCAGAAAAAGACTTTGAGAAGGTAAGAAGGATCTGATGAATTATTCTGACAATAGTGCTTTCTTCGTTCTTCTTGGTAGGTAGAACTTGTCATGAGCACAAAAATCTATAAAATCCATTGTGGGGCAAAAATTTTAATTGCTGGAGCCTTCTACTACTACATTTTTGAAGCTGAACTTTTCAGCCTCTGCTCACTCAGATGTTCACTCTGCTCACTCAGATGCTGATCTTCAGCAGTTGGCTGAAACTGCTTTAGGCTAAGCCACATGAATATTTATTTATTAGATCTTAATTATGGTATTATGTAAAAATAAATAAATCATAGTAATAAAAGAGGAGGCTACTGCAGTAGTGAGAAATTGGCTTAATGCAGAACCCTCAATACAGGAGAACAGTTCATATGGCTACTGCTGTAGAGTAGATAAATACCCATTAAAGGAAAGGAGTTTGAGAAGTTGTCAAAACCATCCTAGAAATGTATTATTACAAGTTTAGAAAAATGTCTGGCAAGTTGATATTAGCTCCTTGAGACTTTGTCTAATTAAGAATTATTAGTTAGAAGCTAAATCATGCAAACTCCTATTGCAGTAGTATTTAAATACATCTGATCTGCCTTTTCTCATTATTATCCCTTGTTAAATCTTGAGTTTGATTTTTTTCTTTCTTAGAAAATTACATTTGAATCAAATCTGCATAATTTAGAAGTGGAAGGGTTGGTGTAATACATGTGGAAAAAAAAAAGGGAAAAAACTACAAACTCACAATATATCTGGGACAAAAAATGTTCTAACCATGTTTACCTGGGTGTGATGTGATTGTAGGGAGCACGTACTGTCTCAAGTTTATCAGCAGCTACCTTGGCTTCTCTGGGCGGGACTTCTTCACGGAGAGGCAGTGGGGACACATCCATCTCAGTCGATACAGAGGCATCCATTAGAGAAATCAAGGTGAGAAATACTTAAAACCAGCATAAAGGTTTAAATATCCTTCAGACTCCCTTCCCAAGAAGAAACTGGCTTGTCTGTCCCTCCTGGCAGTTGGGTGCAGTGAATGAGAAGCGATCAGCTTTGTTAGAGGTGCTGTGGGGAGCTGGTGTGTGTTGCAGGAAACTAGTCGTGATCCTGAGATAGGGAATGGGCTCAATAAAGCCCACTGATAGGAGGGTAGAAATAATGCAAGAAGCAGTGGACTTACTGGAGAGAAGAGGAGGGAGGCTGTGGCAGAGGGTGGTCATCAGTGAAAGGAGCAGAGAAGGGCTGTGGGCTGGGGTTGGAGCCTTTGAACCTGTGTCTGTGTCTTGTCCATAACGTTGAAGATTTCATTTTTTCCAGTCAAGAAAAGCAGAATTATTATAAACTTCTAACCAATAAATCTGGTTGTCTGGCAAGACTTCAGCTTAGGATCAGACCCCTTAACCTGTGTGGTAGAGATATATAAAGGAGAACTTTGAATACTTGCTTGTCCCTACCAGCTGTGCTTCTACCTGTTAGTTTCTGTGGCGTCATTCACCTTTCTCACCATTTCCCTCAGGATATCTATGAGTTAAAGGACCAGATTCAGGATGTAGAAGGCAAATACATGCAGGGACTGAAAGAATTGAAGGTACTGGTTTGCTGCAGACCGAGAGTGTGATCATTAACCCTGGCTAAGCATTCAGAGCCCCAGTGTGAGCCCTAGAGCTGACCTTGCATGCTGTTCTTCTGGAGAGGTTGGAAACTGTGTGGAAAGTGTTTAATTAACTGGAAAAGTATCTGTTCTGACCTGGATTGATTGTGGTGAGAAATGCTTCCAAATGTTAACTGAAAAGTCTGCTGATTGCCATTGCATGTTGTCTTTGCTGGTTTGAGGAGGTAATCATTTTACTAGCAAATTAAAACTATTAGGGTTGTTTTTTTTAATAGTCTCCTAATTCAAGAAACCTTCCAATATTGGAAGATGAACTAGAACTCATGTCCTACAATACTATTAAAAACGAGAGTTTAAAAGCTTGTATGTTTTTATTTTTTTAAGGTCCTGTGAGGTGGTGACTGTCATTTTGGTTTCTTTTCTTTGGTTTGTTTTTTGGTTTCTTTTCTGTCATTTTGGTTTAGAAGACACCCTTAAAATAATCCTTCTAACAAAACTCTGTGTAATAGAGCTTGTTACATGAAGAATGAATGCTGAAGCTCTTGCCACTTCCATGAAGCCATAAACAGATTTTGGTGCAACAACTAACTTTTATGTCTGTGTATGACCCACCTCACAAATGAGCAGCAATGTGAGCTGTGGCTTTTTTTGGAAAAGGCAGTCTTGCAGGTAGATATCTAATACAACATTTATCAGCATTAATTGCTGATTGCATCATTGGCTCAGTGCTGTGACAGGTGAAGATGCTGCCATCTTAAGTGAGTTGACAATGAAAGAGGAGTAGTTTGGCCCTTTTCTTGTAAAATCTTTTTTTCCCTGATCACTGAGTAGCTGGCGTAAGCAAAATAATCACATGGCATAAAAAATGTAGGTAATTTTTCAATTCCTGTCCCTTAGACTGCTTTTGGGTTGATTTGCACCTAAGCTGCACTGCTTGATGCTAAGAAACCAAAATGTAGCATGCCAAAGGTGTGGAACAGCAACTTCCTTAACTTCTTCCTTGCATATACTTCCTTTCCAGCTCATTTATGTGGTTTGGTCCTACCACAGTTTTCAAATCCTAGTGGCTTTCCTGTGCCTGGTATTTCTCATCTCAGGGTGGAAAGTGCACCTAAACATAGTTAAGTGTTTGGAACTGTACAAATTCATGTCCTGAGAGACAAATCATCTCATTTGTCAATAGAAATGTAAACTAAAATTATTCAGATTTTGCCACTATCGTCCTCAGTTCCACTTACTGGCTGAAAAAGGAAGTATATGAAACTCACCCGTAATTCAGTTGAAATTATTGGTATTACACAAGTTCCAAGAGAAATTGTTTGATCTGTAAACTAAAATGTTGACATGTGTGTCCTCCTTGTTTTCACATTTACTCTGTTTTGTTTATGTAACTCTTTTATTTCAGTATTAAAATCAAATAGTGCAAAGTTTGTCTGCACAACATGGAAAATTATGCTAATCTTTATTTTGGTATCATTTGTTGTTATAAATATCTCAGTATCTTATATTCAGGTCAGGCTGTTAAGGAGGGGTTTTCAAAATACTGAGAACTATATCTTACAGAGTAAATTTGTAAAGAAGGGATATGATATGGGAAACCTAATAGAAAATGATACATCAGGTCACAAAAGCTGCAGATTTCTCTTTCACAGTTAATTCTAATGCCTGACTCAGTATATTTAGGGGTTCCCACACTGCAAGGATCCCTTAAATTAGTGTGAAGTGGCTGTTAAGCTGCCTTAATTTAAGGCCTCAGATCTCCTGAAATGATCTTAAATCAAGGCCAGTTTACCTTTAAAAAAAAAAAATCCCAATTTGTCATCTTCAGCAGCTGCTTTGAGCTGCCAATGTGCAGGGGCAGGGGGAGGAGGGAGAAGGAAGAAAACTGGGAAGGCAGAAGCTGATGCAGCACAGAACAGGAAGGATTTGATCTGTCCTGAGGTAAGGCTCCTTGCTTGTAGTCACCAGTGTGGTGGGAACACAGGAGGTTATCCTCACCTTGGGACAGTTGGGAAGCCTCCAGTACATGAATAGTGCTGGTTTCCATAGGCAGACTTGGCATGCTTGTATTTTGGTACTTTATTTTTCTCATTGGAAGTCTTGCTTGGTGAAGTGTCCTTTATTTCTGGCTCTGACTGGGGTTGGTTATTCTTTTCAGGACTCTCTAGCTGAAGTTGAAGAGAAATACAAAAAGGCTATGGTGTCAAATGCTCAACTAGACAATGAAAAAACCAATTTTATGTACCAAGTAGACACCCTGAAGGATGCACTCCTAGAGTTAGAAGAACAGCTGGCAGAATCCAGGAGGCAATATGAAGAAAAAAGTAAAGTATGTATATGTATATGTATGGCATGGTAAATAACAGGGGAAGATTTGGAGGTGGGCAGAGACCTTTGTGAGGAGGCAACCAAATTACTATTCAAATTTTTTAATAAGTTACTGTTTTAATTACTGTTAAGGCAAGTGGAATAGCAGCATATTATGTCCTTGTGTCCTACAAATGGGAATTTTCCTGAGTTTCTGTCTTATAAAGCAATTTCTGAAAAAGGGAAGAAATGTTTTAGATGGCAAAGGCCATATTGGTATTATCACATCTCTATTTTATATTTCATCTTTAAGTTCAGGGGGTTTGTCTGTAGGGACTTCTGGAGCATTGTTACACACAAAGGTGTCTCCAGACAGGCCATGGGAGAGTTGTGCAGTTCAGACAGTTAAGGCAGCTCCATGGTTAAGTGCTGAATTAAGTTTTACATGAATTCAGCATCTGACAGCTAGTGATTTGGTGTTAAATGGTAAAACTGGGGCTTGGGTTAGTTTTTCAGAACTGACTTTTTAGCTTATGGCATTTGACTACAGTGCACCTCAAAACACTGCTCCTGGAAGGTACAGTGTGTTTTTTTCTTTTTATTTTAATAAGTCCAGTTAACTTTTAGTATGTGGCCACGTGGAAAGAATGGGTTAAATTCCCATCCTTTCAGTCTGTAGGACTGGAGTGTAAAAGGTCTTCACTGCCAGCCTGCTGCTCAATTTATGAAATGGGCTAAATGATGATTGTCACTTCTATATTTGGTCTTGGAAAAAGGACAAATAAGATAAAAATTGTACTCTTGTGGGATTGTGATTAGAGGGATATTCAAGAATTACATTGCAGTAAGCATTTCCTTTGTGTTTGGGCTTGTTTCCCCCTTTTTTATGGGAAACTATTTTTGATTAATAATAATTTCATGAATATTTCATTATTTGTAGGAATTTGAGAGGGAGAAGCATGCTCATAGCATATTGCAGTTTCAGTTCATGGAAATCAAAGAGGCTTTGAAGCAAAGGGAAGAAATGCTTGCAGTAAGTAACTTTTTTTTTTTAATGGTTTCTTTGTTTGGTACATTCCCAGTAAGCACTAGAAGCAGAGAAGGTGAGGCATGGAGAATTTTATTGCCTACTCAAGTTTCTCACCTGAAGAAATATTAGTGTTTCAGGCCAAACAGGTTCGGAGCTGACTAATGGAAATAGTACTTTCCTAAACATTATCTCATTCTTCCCAAGTATTATATTTTGGACAGCTGTTTGTGGAGATGCAGAGGAAAATAACAGAACTGTATAACTTGTATTAAGTCATCTCGTGGATAATAAGATTGTCTTCAGGAGCACAGGTTCAGTTGAGATGTCAGAAGCTGTGCATGTAGATACTCTTTTTACTTTAGCGCCTGACTTTTTTCTTTCTTTGGCATCACTGCGATCTTGACCTTCTTTGTTAACCTGTTACCTGCTTTCTGTCTTCTTGCTTTGCTCCTGTCCCTCAGGAAATCCAACAGCTGCAACAGAAACAGCAGAGCTATGTCAGGGAAATTTCCGACCTTCAGGAGACAATAGAGTGGAAAGACAAAAAAATAGGGGTAGGACTTGTCAACTCCTGAAATGTCTTCAGAGTGTCATTCTCCACCTGATTCTGCTTCTGTAAAACCCCATGAATAAAACCTTCCTTAGTGCCTTTGCTTGGTGTGACTAGCAAATAGCAAGTTTTGTCTTTGGCCAGTATCATAAAATCCAAGAAAAATCTAGCAGCTGGTCTGATTGCAGACCAAGGGTAGTTTATTTGCTGTGCTGCACCATTTGCATTTGCCATATCGAGAAAGGAAGTGCTATTTATAATGCAATTCCATCAGCATTGAATTTTCGCTTATTCAGATTTAATCTGTGGACTGAGCAGAAACTGGAGTGGGATAAAGAGGTAAGAGAGCTATTTATAGGCTATTGGGATGAAAGTCTCCCATGCTTCTTATCCCTTCCCACCACCCCTTGTCAAAGCCACATGGAAACCCACTCTTAAAGAACAGCCTGGCTTTCTTTTCCAACTGAACACTGTGAAAGACTTTCTGAATATAGGAGGAAGAAATCTGGCAGCTTGCCCGTGCTTGTGATGTCCAATAATTCGTATCAGCTTGAAATTGAAAATGGTCCAATTTTTTTATGGTTCTACTTGTACTTACATAGAAATATTGGGGGGGGGGGGCTGTGGCAAAATATGCATTTGCACATGGTGCATCCCAGACTAAGGATGACATAGTGGCAGCTTTCAAATTAATTGAAATGTACTGCACCCATGATGCTAACCCATGGAATAAAAAGACTCCTGAAATCCAGGGGGCCTGCTTCTATGCCCTTCTGTTAACATATGTTCAGTGTGCATGTGGAAGTAATATGGATATGGATTAACCTGTCTAGCAGATAAGAATAACACATGGATCCTCATTTGAAGGATCCCTAATGAAGGATTGGGCTCTGAATGTCTGGTTATTGAATAAGCTGTGCGTTTCTTGGATTTGGAGTTTATCTCTCTGTCTGTAAACTCGGTCCTGTAATCTGTAAACTTGACCTTTTTCCATCCATGCCCCTTCCATCAGTCTCTGAATATCTTAAATCTACTCATTCTTGTTTGCACTTGCTTTTCATGGCCTTTACTTGTCTACCTTCCTTTCTTCACACCTCCTCTGCTCTCTGTCTCTGTTGGGAACTCAGGCACTAGAGAGGCAGAAAGATTTCTTTGATTCCATAAGGAGTGAGCGGGATGACCTTAGAGATGAAGTGCTTGTGCTGAAGGAGCAACTGAAGGTATGCAAGAGGAATAGAAGAAATTTGTAATCAACTGCTGACCTTTTTCTCCTGTACATTCTGGCAGAAAATTTAAATCTACCTCAGTAGCAATAACTTGATTTTCATGTTGCCTGTAAGTTGCCATTTCAGGAATTTTCTTTATTAAGTCCTTCCCCCTACTATTGATTGTGACTTCTTAGTGTAGACGAGAGTAATAAGGACTTGCTTTTGTAGGAGATGCTTCTCTGAGGAACATTTTATGCTGCAGATTTTTGTTTAAAAAAAAAGAGCTGGGATGACATGCTTCCTGTCAGAATGGCTAAACTGAGAACTGCAATATCTGTTCTCTGTCCTGACTTCCAGCCATGTTTAATTGAAGCAATTGTTTATTCAGAGTGTCACGGACAAGAACACTTAACAATCCCTCTCTTTCTGAGCAGCAGACTCTAAAGCATTGCTTTCCCTTCTCTACAGAAACATGGAATAATCCCTGACTCTGATGTAGCCACCAATGGGGAGACATCAGACATTCTTGATAACGAAGGACACCTGGATTCTTCCAGAACCGTTCCAGGCACAACTCAGGCATTAAAGACAGGAGGGGAGGGGATGCTAGGTAAGTGCTGTATGTCCTTTCAGATCTTCCTGCCTGTCTGTCATTCATTCATCCATCTTTGCTTGAATTTGGGCATTTGTTAGTGGGACAATTAACACATCACGCAGCATGCTACTTGTCAAATCACTTCCTATGCATTTTTCTGCTTAATATTGATTATCACTCCTAGTATGTTGTGCAGTTTCCAGCAAGGGCAAACTTCATTTCCCTTCCAAGGCGGCAAAGGACGAGAATACAAACAGTACATTACAGATAAGTAGCAGCCATTCACATTACTATTTAAACCCTGAATTTGAAAGCTGTCCCAGGATAATTCTGATAAGGAAACAAAAAGCATTTTAGTTTTCTATAAAGAACTTGTATGTTGGTTCATTTATATCCCTGTGAACTGGAAGTGTCTGCTTGAACAACAGTGCTGGGCACTATTACACCATACTAAAGGATGAATTCTTTGTCCCTGGCAATCCTGTACTATTGAGCAGTTAATTTAACACTTCAACATTTTAACTTGTTAGATTAACATTTAATTGAAAGAATATAATTGACATGGATAGTGTTAGGAAGGAGAAATCTGGTTGGCAAAAATCTTCTTACACAGTTGTGATGAATGGCCACTCAGAGAACTATTGTACTAGTGTAAGGAAAGGAAGTCATATTTTTGGTTTGTTGGGTTTTTTTGTTCTAAATGAACATGCATAAATAGCATCAGGCAGCCAACTGTTCCAAGTGCAAGTTTTCTTGCTTTGAGCTTTTGGCTGCTTTTTCCTCACTCAGTTTCTGTATGGAAACAATATGGAACACCAAAAACCGAGGTAAGGGTGTATTTTTAAATGCAGTATGTTTTCTATATCTCCTAATTCTGTTATTTTTTTTTTTTGGGGGGGGGAAATAGGTACAACATAGACCCAAAAGCTAACTAACCACAAACACTATTGTTTTAATACCTGTTGCTTCTAAATATAAGTTGGAAGAAAAATTGTTACAACAAAAAAAGACCAAACGCCTTTCAAAAAACCAGAGAAGTCCCCATCCCTTTGGGTGGCTGTAAGGGGCACAGAGTACCTGAGCTCTGCTCTGTGTTGGGAGTGCTGAACAGCCAAACCACTTGCTTGCCAATCAGATTTTACATTCAGTGTCTGTCATGCACACTGATGATGATGCCTGTTTGTGGTATTAAAAGTAAAATATTACTGAATAATCCTTCATGACTTCATTGTAATGGCATCAGACCCCTGCATGCATAGAGGGGTGTCAGGACTGAAGTTGTAGAGAATATTGCTGAGGAAATACAATCTTTAAAGGTACATCTGCAAGTATTGCTGTTAAACTGCACTGCTTCAAACAGTTGTCCTCCTCAACGAAAGCTGTAATTCACACAGCCAAGAGCATAAATCTCCTTTCCAAAAACACAAGCCAGCACCAGAGACTTCTTGCTTTGAGAGGGCAGTGGTGAGTTTCACTGATCAAAATCTCCAGACCCTTACTAATTCAATTGCTGCTTTGCCTCACGTAATTGGCAAAAGCTGATCTCTTATTAACCTGTTCTTTGATTCATTCTCTCTTTCGGGTTTTAAATGGGGAGGTAAGTGCTGTGGTGTGGTCCCTTCAACTTTCTCAATGGTCTTTTAGGCAAAGCCAATGAAGTGGAGATGAAAAATGAGATTTTGGAGGATGTGGGGAAAAGAGAAATCATGCAGAATACTGAGCATGAGGAACACAAAGAGGAGTCTGAGGAGCAGGAAGTACAGACATTGCATGCTGCTGAAAATGCAAAGGCAGAAAAAATGGTTGAAGAACGTGACGCCCTGTCAACAGTGATGCTCCCAGACAGTAGGTTTGCAGAGCAAGCTCAAAGCCTTACAGAACCTGTGTCAGAGAGCACTTCTTCCAACAATGGTAGTGACACAGATGATCTGAGAAAGGTGACAGAGCCCACAGGCACGCTGGCCCAGCAGCCTGATAGTACGGAGGCTGAACACCGTGACTCGAGCGCAGGGACAGACGAGAACTCGGAGGTGGGCTCTCTGCAAGGCCATCAGATTTCTGAGACTTCTCAGGAAATGCTTTATGACTTAGGTACAGAGCAGGAACTGGGAGAAGCTGCACCCAAGCAGGAAGAACAAGAGGATCTTAAAACTAGCCATGACCTAAGTGATAATGAAATGGGTCAAGAAGCCAACAGTACAAGTGAGAGCAGTGAGCTGGTTTTTAACCAGGCAGGGCTACCAGAGGGTGCAGTGGGAGGCTTGCTTAGGGAAGAGGGAAATGTGGAGAGTTCCACTCCAGAGGAACTCCAGCACTCAGAAGAAAGTGCTGAAAACAAGGTTACAAATGTCTTGGAGGAAAAGTTTGTTGAAAGCAAAGACTGCACCGATGGAAGAACTGATGAAACAGGAGGGGATAGAGCTGAAGAAGGAAATGAGGTTGGGAACGCAGTTGAGGGTCAGCCAAGGGAAACTGAGTCTGTGGGTGTGGAGGGGATGGGGTCCTGTGAAAGGAGTGTCCCAGCAGAATCACTTGAAAAGGAATGTGGAGGACATCAGGCATTCACCCAGCCAGTTTCATCAGAGGACAGTCCTTCAACATCATCAGAGGAACAAAGTACACAAGATAAAACTGAACTTGAAAATGCTACAGCTGAGAAGGACAGACAGGAGGAAGAATCTATGGAAGAGCTGAAGAAGTGTTCAGGTTCTGCAGAAACAGGGGAGCAAGATAAGGCATCTGTGGAGGCAGAGGGCTGTATTCCTGAGGTAGAAGGAAGTGTGCTGCAGCAGGCACAGCCAGGCACTGATGTTGTGAAAGAGGTGATGGCTCAGGAAACCAGTTTAGACCCAAGTCTTTCAGATGATAAAATTAAGGAGTCAGAATTGGAAACAGGGGATGAATCTGAGAAAGGAAAGGAAAGTAGGACAGAATGGGTAGAAGACTTAAAGCCAGAGGTAGAAGTTCAAACAGTTCAGTGTAGTGAAGAAACAGCAGGTAGTACAGAAGCAGAGAAAAATATTCCTTTAGAAGGTGAAGTGCAGAAGGTGGTCAAACAAGAGAAAGATGAATCTAAAGAGGAGTCAAGTGTAGGTGTTAGTGTAACTACTGAAAACAAAGCTGATAAAGAAACACTGAAAGAAAATGAGCAAGAATTAGAGCTTACAGACCACCATGGTGAGGAACTTGCTTCTGAGGAATGTGCAAATAATTCCCTGGCACAGAAAGCTGAGCAGGATGAAGAAGTTAGTGAACAAGTTAAATTGGAGGATCAAGCAGAGGAAAGCCTGGAAGATGATGGCGATGCATTTGATTTTGATGAAGAGTCAAATCAAATACTAGAATCTGATGAAAATTGTGATGGAGAGAAAACTCAAGCAGAGAAAGAAGAGGGTGATGGAGCAAATGATGCTGTTGGAAAAACTGCCCACACAGACAAAGCTGGAGGGGGAACAGACCAAATGGGAACCAAAGATGCCTTGACCAAAGACGACAGCTTGCAGCATAAACAAGATGAGCCTGAAGAAACAGGGTGCTTGCAAGGGGAAGCATTGTGGAATGCTGATGAGAAGGCTGATGTGATGGAAGATGAAATCAAAGCATCAGATTCTAATTCAGTGGAAAAAATGAAACAGGGTGAAAGTGTTTTGGAACAAGATTTGGAAAGTGCTGTCATTAACAGGGCTGAAAGCAAGGAGGATTTGCAGGGTAGTAGAAAAGGTAGAGGTAGATCCAGAGATGACTGTACAATATCCTAAGTTCAGGATCTCAAACCTGAACAAGTTACATGCCATGTGACCAGTCCCAGGACAGAAACATGCACTTTGCACAAGACACCAGACCCTAGGAATACTCTTACAGCTTTTTCCTTATAGGTAACTCATCCTAATGCAATGTATGTACGTGGTAGTGATGCAAGTATTAAGTTATTCGCTGACATACCTGGCCACAAGAAGTCATGAGTGGGCTTTGTTTTGCTGTGTCTCAGGTTAAAAGTTTTATCACTAGATGAGCTTCACAAATTGACCATGCAGACTATCATACCTCTAGTGTGGATAACTGCTACTGAGGAATTTCTGTAGGCATTTTTTTATTCTAGGCTAGATGTCAGATGTCCTGAATGTACATATGTGCATGGGACCTTTGTGAACTTATGCACATGCTTACTTCTGCTTAGATCTGCAGTAAGTACATTAACACTTCATGAAGGAACTCATCAGATCAACCACACTGATGTTGAAACTTCTTTCAGAATGATAAAAATCTATGAACTAATCTTATTTTTTTAATATGGAAAAAAAAAGATATTTTCATTCCACTTTGTGTATTTCTAATATGGTCACATTCCAAAATACAGTAGGATCACTGTGAATCTGCTTAGTCTAAGCACTTTGGAAGAACAATATACAGTTTGAAGAAAGTGCAACATACAGGTCTTAGTTTGCTGAAAGGAAAAAATATATACATGTTTACTTCATCTAGGCACTTTGCACCACAATAGGCCTTTCACACCATGTCTCACATGGGTTTTTTTATTTTTTCCAGAGAAAGTGTCAATACACACTGTAATGTGTGCTTAGGTCTGCTCTTAAGTACTGTCTAGATATGAATGTATGAAATATCTATTTTTCCAAGAAGATTTTTGTCTAAAATTGCATTTGCTTTTACTGCATTATATTTTTTGCTAACTATGATTCTGAAAGAATGTTTTTATCTCTGAAACAATCTTACCTCCTCCGTTCTGGAAAGAAGATAAGTTTGCATGTCTTAACTCTTATTGGGTATCAGACCAAAGATGACTGTTGTTCTGTGTACTAGCCCCCGTGCTTTTTGGAAAAGCTGGATTGCTTTGAATTCCTGGCATAAAATTAGACACTTGGACTCCATTGCTGTATTTTTTTCTTGCATCTTTGCTAGTGCTTGGGAGGAAGAGCATGTTTTGCATACATAAATATTCATTTAAAGTTGTTTTAAGCAATGAGCGTCACAAGAAAATGCAAATTGAGGGGGGTGGGGGCTATGGAAGGCTGTGTTTGTATTGATGTTACAAAGCTGATAGAGTACAGACAGAATGCAAAATTTCAAGATGTATATCGAAATGTGCTGCTGTATATAATTTAAATAAACATATTTTATACTCTAAATTACCTGTCCAGAGCACTGTTTCTAAACCTGCATAAGTAGTTATTTAAATCTGTATCATTCCAAACACATTTTTCTGCAGCTTTGTTCAGTTTATTGCGTTGTGCTACATAGCTGGAAGAGCGATCTTCCTAGGACGGGGCAGCCTCGGGGTTTGAGGACCTTGAATAAATGATGGCACCCTTAACTGTAAACCTCTAACAGGTCTGTAACCCTGTAACTCCTTTCATATGGCTTCTCTCCACCTTACAGCAGATCCACCATGGTTTCTGTAAGTATCAGCAGTTGTTCTTAAAGGGTTTACACTAAATGCTAATCCAAAAAGTCATAGATCTTAAGAGCATTTCTTATTAACATGTAGCAGTGTTTATTTAAAGATCTGGCTCTGCTATACTCTCAACAGTAATATCTGGTTTAGTGTTGAAAGTACTTTTTAAATGTTAAATACATTTAAATACATCATTAAATGTGCTTCCCAGGCTTCACCTGTACATGTGGATGGATCTATCTGAGTTAAATTAGCCACATGGTAATTTCCTGAATTTTTTATCCAAGTTGATTTCTAATCGAAAGGTGTCTGGGTGGTTGAGGGAATCACTGATGAGCTGATTTTTAACGAGTTTTTTAACTTCATAAAACAAAGCATCTGTAAGATAATTCCTTTTTAAAGCCAGGTCACAGAAGGAGAAACAACTCCAATCTTGCCTGTCCACATACCAGCTTTTATCGCACTCTCAGTGTAAATAGGGCAGGAGCAAGAACATGGACAGGCAGTGCAGAGTAGTTGATGTGCCAGAAATGCATCCTGGAACATTAGCTGCTTGTTACTCCTGTTGGCACCTGGTCCCTGACGTCTGGAATTGGGCAAGTACCGTGGAAGAGAAGGTCATGGTATTGTTTTACCTCTTTGGTTTTGCTTGAGTATTTGCACATCGAGGGAGAGGAGGAGGTCTCCCAGGTAAATTACCTTGATGGGAAAGGGAACTACTCGATGTTATATTCAAAACTTAATAATTTCAGCATTTTATGTCAGCCAGCATTGAGTGAAATGTGTGCCATTAGAGAGGGAGAGGAGGCAGTGTCTCAGGAGGAATTACCTAGAAAATGCATCTCTTGTGAAGTTACACAATTGAAAACAGTTTTTGGCATTTCCCCTGCAACAGGTAACAGATAGAAGAAAACACCTGGCTTCTCACTTTCTTTGGTGGTTTTGACTTTCAAATATGAGTATGTGACCCAAGGATGAGACTTTTCTTTCAGAATAGCCCCAAATGTTTGCTGGGTTTTCTGTTCAGCACCTAGTGCCACGTGTAGGCTGTAGCCTCGGTTCGTGCATAACTGCACGTTCAGAGCTGGCCTGAAATGCTTTCAAAAGCAATAGCTGAAGAAAAGTACCTGATGAAAAAGGAAACAAAAATAATGAAAAGGTCTTTGTCAGTATTTCCTTTACTACAGAAAAGAACAGTCCTCCTGTTCCCTTCAAAATCAGTATTGCAAGCTGGTGTTTTCCAAATCCTGTGCTGTCCCCAACAGTATCCCTCTTCTGAGAAAGACAGGAAGGCATTTCTCAGTATTTTATGTTGTTTTCTCATGATCCGAATAAATGGCCAAATCTGGAGAAAGGAGTATTGTCTAACCTGCTAATGATCCCAGAGTTGTATTCCTGCAGGCTGTTCAGAACAGCTGCTTGGGGCTGCTGCTGTGATTTCATGGAATGTCTTTCCATCCTCTAAGTAGAATTTATCTTTCCATCCTCTAAGTAGAATTTATCTTTCATTTGCATAATGATTAATTACTTTGTGGGCCACACATCATGTAAGTCGTGCAGATAAAAACAGCTCCTTCCCATCCCATGGGAAGCTCCATCCCACCCCTCCAAGTGGGAAGAGCCATGGAGGATCTGTGGCTGATTTGAGGATGTTTGGTCAATGGTGCCACTGAAGCAGCACCCAGGTTAGCAGTGCCTTGGGTCACCTGCAGTGCCAAGGCAATGAGAACAGTCATTTCATTCACAAACCACAGCAGAAGACACTGGTCACCATCACCCCCCTGTGTCCTGCTCCCTCACAGGCCCCATTTCTCCTTCAGTCCTCTGTTAAACTCCTATATGGGTGAAAGCCATGAACTGGTGCACTGAGTATCCTGGGAATCATGTTTTCCAAAGTGAAATGAGGTGAATGTCACACTCTAATTATTCATTCTAGTATCCTTGTATGTGAAATAAGGATAATGACTGTTACAGATAGGAATTTCAATTAGCTGCTTCAGTGTCCTAATTCAGGAAATTGCTCTTTCCTGCTCACCTGCTCTCAAAGTCCTCAGATCCTTGATTTGTTGGAAAAATGTCTCCTAAATGCAAAATTAAGGTGACTGCAGAGATAGCAAAGATAAAGTAAGTTTTCTGTGTTAGTGTGGGGGCTTAAAAGAGAAATGAAATCTCAAAGACCTTCATCTCTATGGGTAGAAAACTTTCCTACAGAAAAAGCAATTTTCCAGACTAATTTTCTCCCTGGTCCTGTAAATTCTGCACAGATGTCCATAATGAAGGAAGAGAGGACTGATGGTAAGATTGGATTTGAAGGTTCATCCCAAAGTGCTAACATCCATTTTGCAGGGAAGGGGCTGGGGGGAAGCTGATATGCTTCCTTCCTGGAAGCTGGAGGAGGTGTCCTTTCTTCAGGCAGGTGTGTTTCACCCCACAGCAGTGGCTGTGTTAATGAAAGTTACAACTAAATTATTTTCAGGATCAAGGTGGATTATTTGGCTCCTTTAGAGTCAGTAAGTTTGGGCTAATTTTGTAGTGGCCCAGAGGTTTCCTGCTGCCTCAGTCCTCATTCTCCTTCCAGTCCTTAGAACTCCACTTCTCAATCTTTGCTGACCTGTGACTCCCAAAACTATCTCCTAGTATCTTCAACCTGTCTTTTACTGTTTGCTCTCCTTGTTTTCTTCATTGTCCTTTATTTTTCTTTATCTTTCATCTTTTGCAGAATTTCTGTAAGTTTCCTTTCCTTCCCATATAGATCTGTGAAAGTATTGTTTTGAAGGGGTTTATACCTGTAAATTTTGGTTACTCTTGATGGTTGATGAAAATGTGAGGTTTCTGTTGGTTTTGTTTATTTTGTTTTTCCCTAGAAATGCTCAGGTGTAACAGTTGAGTTAAAAAAAAAAAAGATAGGACTTGAGAAGGATTAAAATGATGGCACAGAGTAGCTGCACTGGGATGTCACGTTAAGATCTGTATTGGGGTATTGCATCAGAAGCCAAGGTAAAGGTTTTATTCCATGCTCTGATATGACTGCTGGTGTATGGGAATTTGTATAGCCAGGAGGGGAATGACATACCACATTATTGCTAGCTAATGGACTGTATATGTCTGCTGCACAGAGGGACTTTCATTTGAAAACCAGTTTTCCCCATGATTTGATTAAATGCAGACTCTTTATTCCCTTTAACTGGGCGTACTAACAAGAAAAAAGGGAGAACCACAAGAACCACAAGACTTTGGCCTGTTCAAGATTTAAGGACAAAGGAGGACTGGCATTTTTAAAGCTCTTCAAAAACATTTAAGTCACTCTGTCAACAGAATTTACCTGGTAAAAGCCCACCAGGCTCTTACCTGTAATTTGTCAATTTGCTTTCCTTAAGTTTACAAAAAGACCTTTTTCTTGAGTGACCTTTGGATTTTAACCACTTAAGACCTTAGCTGTGGAGCTGAGCTCTGAACACCCTGGGTTCTGCCCAGGTGGCTGCCTGCTGGCAAGGGAGGCAGGCTAAATAAACCTGCAGTGAACACCCACGTCAGACTTGGGGACTAAGACTCGGCTGAGGTCAACAGAGCCTCTTCTAAGAAGTGCATTTGAGTGCTATGTTCCAGTGCACTTCTGCTTGAGGGGTACCTGAACAGAGGTTGTTAATTAAAGAGATAATTTTAGTGATAAGAGAATGTGTGAGTACCTGATAAAATGCTTTCATGTTTTGCACCCCTTAACAGGGAAGGAAAAAACACGAGCAATTTGGTCACTTAATTTGTAGTTCTTTTTTCCAGTTGTCTCAGTTTGTAGAGTGACCTTCATTAATGAAAGCCACACATATCCATGTGCTGACTGTGTGGCACTTCCAAGTGCAAGTGTAGCACAACAGCTGGCCCAGATTGCCCATGGCCTCTTGATGTCTGACATGGAGAACTGACTGTGAAGAGAAAAGAAGGTTTTACCAGACTGCTGCATTCAAAACACAAATAATTTGACGGGCAAATGTTTTTCTGGTTATAATATTGAAGACGAAATGTCATTGCCATGTAAAAGAAGGGAAGATTTAAAGTGCTGGGAACGTGCTTAGCTATGATTATAGGTTTTTACAGTATTTTCATTGTGCTAAACTGTAAAGATTTGTGAGATTTTGTGTTGCAGTTGTGTTTGACCCTAGAGTTCTTGCATGCTAACCTAACGTAGAAGATTAGCCTCTTTGCATGCAGCTACTGCCGTGACAAGCATGTTCTGTGAGAATGACATAACCTCCCCTGGCTGCAGCCCCTTCCCAGCCCTGTCTGTGGCCTCATTTCCTGTGGTACGTGCATAACTCCCTCCTCCAGTAGTTCCACTAACCTTAATGGTTCATCACATCTATCAGATGCGCTCCGGAACGTGCCGCGCGATCACATCAGCACTGAACCTTCGCTCTTATCTTTCAGACAGGCTGAAAAGGCTCATTGATGAACGAGAATCCCTCCTAGACCAGGTAAGCACAGGGAAAGGGAAATGCTATTTACAAAATCTTTAATAAGAACAACAGGGATTAAGAAAACAGCCCCCAGGCAAGGTGTGGGGCAGCAGCGCTGCTGCCTCGCAGAACGTGTGCTGGGTTGCTCTTGCTGGGCACTTGCTGCCTTGCTGGCCACTTAATTCTTCCTCTGAAACGTTTCTCCTGCACATTAATTCAGGATAAAGAGCAATGCCACCCAGTGTGCCCATTCCACACTGCTAACCTGTCACGTTCAGTGTCCTCAGTCACCTGACTGAGGATTATTTCTGAAAAATAGTACTTCACATTGGCCAAGCCCAAGGGTAAAACAAGCATGGCTCAGCAAATTTCGTTTCCAAGAGTCAGCCCTCCGGATTGCTGGGTCTGTGGGTTATGGGCCATTCGGAAAGAAATGGTGGAAGAATTGCCGTAGATGGGTAAATAGCAATTAAAGTGATTTTTGCTGGTTCCATGATATTCCATGGAGGATATAAAGTTTATTCAGAAAACTTCAGCTGATCTGTTTCTCTGCAGGTCACTCTCTGCTTTCATTTGCGCTCTAGATCCTTGACCTTGAGACTTGCACACACCCAAACACAGTTTGGGGAGTTTTTAAGAATGTTTTACATGAATGTGCCTGCAGAACATTTATGCCTTTTCTAGTAAAATAGCCTTCTTCCACTCATTGTGTTTGGTCCTGAATTTATACGTAAGCACTGATGTGTAAAATATGATGAGTCATTTGCCAAAAGAATTTCTAGGACATTCCAGATTTTCTGGAATTTAAGTTTAAAAAAAAATATAGTTTGTTTTATAATACTTGAGTGATTTTGAGTACTGAGCCACAATTTTTCTCAGTGACTTTAATAACTATTTTGTGTTCTTCAGATTAAAAAATTAAAGGGACAACTGGAAGAAAAGCAAAAGAATGGCAAGATGGATAACACACAGTCAGAAGATGAAGTTCTGGAAAATGGGACAGATATGCACATGATTGATCTCCAAAGTGAGCTGCATTTTGATTTTAAGGGAATTTTGTGCCCTGCATGCGGGTGAGAAAATGTATAACCACATGACTGAGTAAAAGTGAGCCCTCAGTTCTTAGGGAGCTTCAGCTATGCACCTCTATAGAGGTGAGGGAATTAGGAGCCTTTGTTGGAGTAAGATTGCAGTTGGGAATCTGTATTATTGCTCCTCAGGAGAGCTGGGGTGAATTCAGGATAATTCCGCTTTCAGAGTGGTTGTAAGGGAATCAGGCAAGAATGGGAATAGTGCCTATCTATAGCTGGGCACTTTTTGACAGAGAACTACTCTACTGCTGCAGATCCCTGATGCATGGAAATTTTATGACAGACTTGTTAGAAACTGCTAACACATGTTCTGACATCTCTGATAAATCTGCAATTTTTTTAGGAGATGCCAACAGACAGATCAGTGATCTCAAATTTAAACTAGCAAAGTCTGAGCAAGAGATAACAGCATTGGAGCAGAATGTAAGTTTTTGGCTTGTTCTGTTTGTTTAGGCACGGTGAGAATGCAAAGAGAAAGTGTATTTTGTTATATGTTAAATGAAATTATGATTACTGTGATTTTCCCTTCAAATAAGAAACAGGAGTGTTGGAGCATTGGGGCTACTAGGACTGAAATGCTTTCATTTATGTTTGGGAAAGAGGGAATATATTATTCATCTGAAATGAAGGAAAAACATTCAAAGACAAAGGTATATTGAGAGCACTTGCTGAACTCTGCAGAACACTTCCTTATGCCCAGCTATTGACAAGTCTTAAATGGCTCCTGGCATATGATGTGTATGTATGGATTTGATACACAACTGTTCAATTTTGATTGTTTGCTCTTGTCCAGACTACATCAGTGATGCTCTTGCAAAGAGAATTTTAGCCAATGGACTGTATTTTTTTGTTGCTGGAAGCATATTAAATATGGATATGTGTAAAAGGTCTGCAGTAGGTTACTGTGGCCATGTTTCTTTGGTATATTTTTTTTCTGAAAATGTGCCTTATTTTATTAATGAGGAGTGAGCATCTCTCTGGTTATTCCTTGAGTACTAGTGGGAGAGTAAACCTTCAGAGTAACTTCCTGGTGCAGCTTTTAATTCAGAAACTTTGCCTTCACCTTAGGTAATACGACTGGAAGGTCAGGTAGCCCGATACAAAACTGCTGCTGAAAATGCTGAAAGAGTAGAAGATGAACTGAAAGCAGAGAAACGCAAACTACAGAGAGAGGTAACTCCAGCTGCAGGCTGTCACAGGCCAGCAGTCAGCCTGCTCTGGGTGGGGGGAGACCTGCCCCCCTGGTGTGTTTTAGAGGAGGAACCACCCTTATTGGCATAGCAAAGAATAAACATCTAATTTTTTTAATTGATTTAGCTATTAATTCTAAATGTACAACCAAACTTTTGGTGCTCAGACTGGAGTAACAGTCTCAACTGTGAACTCCCACTGCTGTTTCATCATTCCTTCCTAAACTTGCTTGCTGTGCCTTGATTTGTACCAGAACTGGTTCTCTGGAGCAAACTCAAGTTCCATTTGTACAACATGAACCTGGAAGCAGCCTCCAAATGCTCAGGTTTGCAGCTGTGAGTGTTCCTGTGGTTCCACATTCATCAAGCTGAAAAGTTCCTATTTCTGCTTTGCTGTCCTTGTCATCGATTGTACCTGAAGGCTCATTACTTTGGGATGTATAAATTCTGGGTTTGTAAACACACATCACTGGTCTCTTGAGAACATGTGGTTCAGAAATTACAGCAGTAGAAAGCTGCAAACTCTGCTGTAAACTTAGGTTGGGTGCTTCATTATTTAAGAACAGTGCCACACCTTGCCAGGAATGACAGTCTAAACTTTCAAGCTCAGAGCCTAAATTCGAAGGCTAAATGGATGTGAGTCGTTGTCTGTGAGCTTGTTTTTCTTGCTCTGTCAATCTCTTCATGCCTGTTTGCTGTAGTGTGGCTGTCCACAGATTCTCTCCATGTTTCTGTCTTTTAAAAGCGTTGCATCTTCAAGTCATCAGTAATTTTCACCTTGTTTTTCTTTCCAAACTTCACGTTCTTTCCAAGTAGCTGCCCACAACCAGCCTGAATACCTTCATCAGCTTCTCTCACTCCTGCCTCCTGAGGTGTTTGATTTTTTTTCAGTGTGGCTCTTAGCTTTTTCTGAATACTCCTTCTGCTCTACTGCCTATAAGTACTGCTATGTGCAGTCCAGCTCTCTCCCCCTACCCCCATCCTGTGATGGGTTTTATGGGAAACTAAGGCTGTGGATGTAGTTCTGGGAACCAGAAATATAAAAGCTGAGCGGTGAGACAGGTGTACATCACCCAGCAGATACCTCTGACCCTCATGCCTCTGGAGTTGAGGAAAATTCTGAGCCAGTTGTTCAACATTCTGTAAATACCTTGGATTCTTGGCATGCTTAGAAAATACCTGTGTGTGTGGCTTTCAAAGCAGTTACACAACATTTACTTTTAACTCTACAAAAAGGAATTTTCAACGGCTTTATGTTAGAAGGAAATTCCAGCAATATGGTCAGTTGGCGTTGGTAGCTACAAACCTTGCTTTTCTTGGGAAACTGAAAACACTGTGAAAGTCACCTTTTTTTTTTTTTTTTTTTTTCTGCTTCCTTCCTTCAGCTTCGTTCAGCACTGGATAAAACTGAAGAGCTCGAGGTGAGCAATGGGCACCTAGTGAAACGTTTGGAGAAGATGAAAGCCAACCGGAGTGCTTTACTGTCGCAGCAATAACCACCACCTCCCGATGGAAACCACTACTACTTGACGGAATCGGAACGACGCTGCAGCTGCTTCTGTCTCTTGCTGCCCGGGATGCTTTGTGTCATGCCTTCTGAGAACAGACAACCCCAACATTTGCTACGTGCCACCCAGCTGTGGGTCTCTCTGCGCAGATTCAAACCTACTGCACTATACCCATAGGAGTAGCTGATCCAAATGGCTGTGCCTGTGGGAGCCCTTCCACACTGAGCGCTGGGGACATTCGAAGTACCGTATCAGTCGACCACGTAAGAAGCACATTAAGTTCTCCATCCAGAGGGGCACAGCAGCCATTTATTGCCATTTAAAATGGTATTCAAAGAAAACAATTTGACTGGAATTTTGTGTCTTGCTGAAAATTTTAAAAGAAACACTGTAAGTTTTGGACTTTTCTCGTGACAGTATCTGTAATTTAGTGACTACGGTAGAGTTATTCATAGTAGGTTTTTCATTTACAAATCACTGTGGAACCACAAGCCATTACAAAGCAAAACTCCTTCAGTGGAAACCATGGAAGAAGATGGTCTTGGAAGCAAAAGTGACCTTAAATGACTTTGCCAATAAAACAAAGGTGTCTGGAGGGATTTTTGCACCAGTGGAATCATGAGACTCTTTTATTTCAGGGTAAATAGGCAATAGCTTCATTGAATTTTCAACTTTTATTTGTATTATTTAATCCCTGCTCTTGGAGTTGAAGTAAATGACTTTTAAAGGATGTAAAGTTGCTTTAGTAAACCAGCATAAGGCCGTGTTTTCAGAAATGGTGGGTTTTGCACTTAGATCATTCTCTTTGGTGCATTTGTCAAAGCAAGTGTCATTTGCTTAAACAAAATATGAAATGGGTTTTTTACATCAGAAACTATCTACTGGTCCATGAACCACTAGGAAACGATGCCGCTACAAAATAAAAGTCTGATTTTTAAAAGAGTAACTGATAAGTAAAGAAGCACTTTAGAAAATATTACTGCCTATGGGTTTTCTACAAATACAGAAGTAGCGACTTCTTTCCTTCTTAGGTCATTATGAAGGTTTTCCACTTTTCCTGAAAATCAGCGTAACCAATTAAGATGTTGCAGGCAATTATTGTGTGTACAAAAATTATATATGACTAGCACTACAGCTCTGGTTTATTGGAAATCATTCTGAATGTACTACTCAAAGGAGAACAGCAGTTACCCGAGGGATAAAGTTGCCTGTCCCCTTTCGGCCCTTACAGGGAAGAGCCTGAGGCAGGCGACTGATCCCTTTGGAATCTGCTCATGCTGTGAAGCAGCATCTGCTGTTCCACAGGAGCAACCCTCTGTCCATGCTGCATCAATAGATATGGTTCTGTCAAGCCAAATCCAGACCCGGGAGACCACATTTCTTCTTAACTTAGTCTTCAGACTCTCTGATCCAGGTCTTTCCCCAGCCTCTTCCTTGCAGACGGGAGGTTACAGTACAGACTGCTGCTATTTTCAACGCAAGGGAATCGCTGGTATCTTCTTAGAGCACCTTCACTAAATAAACCAAAAACAGTGTCTGAATGTGTTTCTCTGGTTTGGCTAGGAAACAACACCTTCTTCTTCATCTCTTCTGAGTGCACAAGGAAATTTAGGAATGAAGTACTGAAATTAATATCCCAGGAAAAGGATGAAGAAGGCTTTTTTTATGCTCCTGGGGAACACTTCCAGAGAGGGTGATTCCACCACCTCCCTGGGCAACTTATTCCAATGTCTGACCATTCTTGCAGTGAAAAAATGTTTTCTAATATCTAATCTGAACCTCCCCGATGCAACTTAAGGCCATTTCCTCTCGTCCTTCCATTTGAGATGTGGCAGAAGAGCCTAACTCCTCCCCCGGCTCCACCCGCCTGTCAGGGAGTTGCAGAGAGCGAGAAGGTTCCCCCGAGCCTGCTCTTCTCCAGGCTGAGCCCCCCCAGCTCCCTCAGCTGCTCCTCATCAGACTTGTGCTCCAGACCCTTCCCCAGCTCCACTCCCTTCTCTGGACACGCTCCAGCACCTCCATGTCCTTCGCATTCCTTGTTTTAGCCTAAGACTGGATGTGTACATGAAATGAAGCCATCAACACTTGCATCACTACTCCACGGGGAAAGCCTAGTAGCTGTTTACTTCAAGAAACTTCTGCTCCTGCAAGCTCCCAACCACTTCAGAGTGAAAGGAAATGTCTCCGGAGGCAGATGCAGTCCCTGGGTTGTGTATTGGCCCCAAGAGATAAAACCCTTAAATTCAATGATTGGCTCTGTCCTGATGCATAACACGTGACCATACCGACTAGGTGCAATTTTGAGAAGTGTATTTAAAATATGCATCCTTTTCAAAGTCCTCAAATTATCTGTTTCTAGATATAAACATACTGAATTGGACACACTGCCCAGGGAAGCTGTGGCTGCCCCATACGTGGAAGTGTTTAAGGCCAGGTTGGACAGGGCTTGGAGCAACGTGGTCTAGTGGAAGGTGTCCCTGCCCATGACAGGGGAGGTGGAATGAGATCTCTAAGGTCCCTTCCAATCCAAACCATTCTGGGATTCTGGGATTCTATGAATTATACCAGTAATTCAGCACTGCATTACCTGGTAATGGGAAAGTCATGGCAAACTTCTTCCAAGCAAGCTTGATTTTAGGCAAACCTCTAGTGAAGCAATAGGATACTGAAACAATCAGGCTTTCTGCAAACTGCCTGCAGTACAATAATTCATGTTATTTATTACTTTACAGTTGCTTTTTCCACAGTTTCATGTTCACTCACCTCCAGAAAGAGGACATCAGTTGTGAATCTGATGCTGTCCCCAAGGAGGTGTTGGAAGTTTGTCTTGTCCATCTTGGCATATACTTCCTGCAGATAATGAACAACCGTGTCCAACTGGTCTTCATCTTCAAGGAATGTTTCTATGCAGGGCACATATTTTCTATACATCAGGAATTGTTTCAGCCAAGGGGACTGTTTCCCACTTTTTAAGATCTCCAATAAATGTTTCTCAGTCCCCCTTTTGTGGTCTGTAAAATCCACTTAGTTTTTTGTTTTCCTTGTCCCTCATGGCTAGGGCAGGGTCTGGGAGGAGCTGCCTGCCGTGCAAAGGTGCCAGCTGAAGGACCTTCCTGTGCCTTGGTGGGGAAGGTCCTTGTTCATCAAATGTGGTGAAACATGGAGATGGAAGGAATCTTCTTAAATTAAATTTTCGCTCCAGCTAGGGCTTTGGGGTCTTTGTTTGTTTGTTTGTTTTTCGAGAGGAACGTTCAGGTGCAGAGCCAGGTTTCTTGTGGAATACCTCAAAATCACTGTGGATACCAATTTACAATTTTCTGTGCTCGACTTGTATAATTTCTGGTGTACAAAGCCTCTGGGGCCTAAAAAATGAGCTAAGGGATTTTCAGAATGCAAACATGCTAAATACAACATCTTAGTAATGATAAGGTGTGTGATTGCCACCAGTCATCTTTTCATTTGTGGTAGTGGTGAAAGCTGTCTCTCCTGGCAAGATTCAGGAGAAACAACTCAGCAACTAAGCATTGGTCCAAAAGGCTAAAAATAATGCTTTGCTCATCAAAAAGGGATGTGTTTATTATTTCAAAGTCGTTTTCATCTCGCACCCCATAAGCATTAACCTCATGACGGAAATCAGATGTGTTATTTCAACCTGGATATGCTCTTAGTAGAAATCTTTGTGTGTGGTAAAGTAGATGAATGTTGAAGACACATGTTTTCTCCCCCTAACTTTCAGTATGACTTAGCTTTAGAATAATGGAAGAAAAAGAACTGGTTGGTTTACTGCAAACTGTTTTATGTTTTTCTGTGAAGAATGTACAACAACAGGGCTTTTAATGGTAATAATAGCACATGTCCCAGTCCTTTTTAACTGAGCTCCAAACGAGAGCGCCTCGGGACCTAGAGTGGAGCTGAGGTGGCAGCAGCCTGGCGAGGAACAGCTCCTGGGGAACCAGGATGGGTTTTCCTAGAACTTAAGTGAATTTGTTATCCTCTATTTTAAATTGTTAAATAATTTTATTGTTTGCAAATGGAATGTTACCCAAAATGTTGGTTTTTTGTTTTGTTTGTTTGGCTTTTTTCCAAGCGCTCTGTTAGGGAATGTGAGCGTGGAAAAGGAAATTCATTATGAGCAGAACTCGCCAATAAAATGTCACTTGTTTGGGTAGTTTTTATGGAGTGGTCTGTCATGGTGATATTACCACAAAAAGTTCTCTTGGAAAATACAGAGTTTTGGGATAATACCAGTGTAGCAGCCCATTTTCCTTTTTAATACGTTGCTGTAGGATCACACAAACATGAGCAACGCTGGTTGTAAAATGTACAAATTCAGGAGCTTGTGTGACTGAGGGCGCTGGTGTGAGACATACCTCTAGATATTAACAGTTTTAATGGCAGGGCACACATATACCTCCAAATAGTAATATTTTTAATATCAGGTGCACATATATCTCCAAATATTGAACTTTTAGTGGCCATGTGCACTTGGGCAGGGAGAGGACGGGGACAGCCTCCCAGCAAGAGAAATTTGAATGGTATTGCTAATTGGATGAATTCTCTACTTTCTTTCTGGTGAACATAGAGGTAACACATAGAAACTTTCCCTGGAAGAATCCTTCACAACAGGAGGCAGCTTTGTTCATCAAAGAAGTGTTATTTTAGTATGAAATTTCATCTTGCCCTGATCGTGGGTGTTGCCAGAGATGCTGCTTCCGTGAAAGAGACTGAGGAGGAGGGTAGTGTTTGTCTCTGCTTTAGATGCTCCAAACAATAGTATGTGTTTGGGAGGTTGTTTTAGGCAGCTGAGTGATATTTTCCACACTTTATTAAGACCTTTACGTGCATGTGTTTAAAGGAAGGAGCAGAGCCCCTTTTAAAAGTAACATGTACCTGTGTGGCAGGTATGTAACCTGCATCTGCTTCCACCCCTGTAACATGCTCCTTCAGGCTGGAAACTTTCAGGTAAGTTTTAGTATGTCTCAGGGGAGGTTTAGGTTGGATATTAGGAAAAGGTTCTTCCCCCAGAGGTTGACGGGGCACTGAACAGGCTCCCCAGGGCCAGTGGTCACGGCCCCAAGGCGCCAGAGCTCAAGGAGCACTTGGACAACACTCTCAGGGACAGGGTGGGATTGCTGGGGTGTCCTGGCAGGGCCAGGAGCTGGACTCAATGATCCTTGTGGGTCCCTTCCAGCTCAGGATATTCTTTTATTCTTTTACTTTTATTATGTAATGACTGTACAAGGGATGCTGCTGCTCCTCCCCGCTGGCTGCAGTTTGGGCTTTGTGCCCAGCGGCAGGAGAGTCGTGAGGGAAGAGAAGGGACTGGCCGCTTCTCAGGGGCCACCTCGGCACCGCCTCTGAGGGCACATGGCGGTACTGTCTCTGGGGGAACGTGGTGACACCGCCTCTGAGGGGACACCGCAGCACCGCCGAAGGAAGAACATGGCGGCACCGCCTCTGAAGGAAGGGCTGGTGGCACGCGGCGAGCGCGGGCTCAGCGCCGGCCAATCAGGCGGCGGCGCAGTCCCCCGCCGCAGCCAATGGGAAAGCGGGGGCCGCGGGGCCGGAGGGAGTTGAGCGCGTGTCCGGCGGCCGCGGCTGTGCGGCCGGTCGCAGGGCGGGGTGGGGCGGCCGTAACTGGGGCGGCCGGCTCGGCCGCGGGGCTTGTCTGGGCACGGGGCTCGTCTGGGCAGCGGGGCTTCGTCTGGGCAGCGGGACAGCGGCTCAGCCTGCCCTGGAGCTGCGGTAAGTCGCTGTTCTGCCGCCTGAGGGTTCCCCCTGGGCGAGCGGGAGCACCAGGCTCCCCCCGCCCTGACCCAGCGCCGCGGCTGGGACTGGCTCGGCTGTCGTCAGCGTCTGTTGTGTCATAGCGGCGGCAGCAAGGTTACTGTAACTTACCTGGGGCGTGGAGGTGTTTTGGCTCTCGTTTCTTGGCTTGTTCTTAAGCAAGAGTGGGTGAAGTCACTTCGCCGTGTTAATAACATTGTGATTTACGTACAGGCGTCTGGGATGTGCTGTGGCAGCGTTCGGCTTTGAATTCCACCGAGTCACTCAAAGCTTCGGTTAGGAGGTGAAGGTAAAGTTAATGTAGTAAGAAAAGACAACGTTTTTGAAGGAAAAATAACTGTAGAAGTGCATAATGAAACCATGGAAGTGTTCAAGGCCAGGAGCTTGGAGCCACCTGGTCTAGTGGAAGGTGTCCCTACCCACGGCAGGGGGGTGGAGGGAGATGACTTTTAAGATCTCTTCCAACCCAAACCATTCCATGATTGTCTTTGAAGGATGAATGACTTCTATCAATCACTTCTGTAAAAGATTTAAAGCATTTTAATGAAGTGTTTTAAAATTATGCCATTTGAATTGAAATCCCTAGTGGAGAAGCATCAATGGATGCAGATTGGACAGATAAGGCATTTTTCCCCCCTGAGAAAGGGCTCTCATGTACTGGTGACAAAGATTGTGATGTGTCATTTAAGTAGTTTAGAAAGCAGACCTAATAGGAACATGTCTAGTGTTTTTATGTACTCTTTAATTCGTTAGA